GGTAGTATACACTACATACCTTATTCTAGGATACTATAACTCCTCTATCTATTAATTATTATGCTAATAGGTGCATAGCCTTTACTAGCAACCTTAACACTACTTATACGTGCCTATCCTATAGCAGAGCTTAGTATAATAAGAAAGGTAAATTAAAATATTAATAGTAATATATCCCTATACTTCTATAACTACGTATCTAGTATAATAATAGTTATTAGTTATAATAATTAAAAGTGTATTAGGTAACTTTTAACCTTACTAGTAAATATACTTTACACTAAGACATGTATAACAGGGACTAGTTTTAAGAATATAGTAGGAAAGGATACTTCTAAGACCCTAGGGATCTAGCTTTATAACTTATATTAGACGTAGTAGGTATAGTAAAGAACCCTAAGAAATAATAAAGTATTATACTAGTAGTGCTATATATCTTAAACCTTTACCTATCTATTTAGGATTAAGACTATAATACACTTATTACTACTATTATACCTAGTACTTTTAATAAAAAATTTATAGATACTTAGCTACACCTAATAGTAGAGGAATTACGCTAACTTATAGTTAGAGTTTATATATACAACGTAGACGCTTAGGAAGAATTTATTCTTTACGCCTACCTTATACTAATAACTAGAGATAGGCTAGCTATAGCAGAGATTATAGGAATAAAATAGCCTAGTATATTAAAAAGGAGTTACCGCCTATACCTATATAAAGGAACTAAGGGGAGAACTAGTAAATACTCTTTCCTAAATAGAGATACCCTTCGCCTAGTTATATATAATAATTTAGCTACTACTATTAAAGATATATATAAATAATAAACTAATATACTAGCCTCTAGATACACTACCTTACGCTAAGATACTAGTATTAACTACTACTCTATCCTATTAGACCTCCCTACTATATACTTTCCTTATAGCTTTCCTATTAATATTATACACGTAATATCCTATAATATACCTAAAGCCTTATTCTAACTCTAGAAAGGGGATAAATTTAATAACAAGACTATACTATAGCTTATTACTAACGCTAATTAGGCTTTAATTAATAAAGGTCTTTACAAGTCCTATTCCTTAGTACTAACCTAAGTTAGTACTACCCTATAAAGCACTATAATATATAAGATATAGACTTTATTTAAATAGTAGACTTTTATACTTACTTATAGAGCGCTAGCTATACAGGTCTATCTTTAGAAGGAATATACTAATAACTTCCTACGCTACTATAAACTACTCTTCTATATAAGCTAGAGGGAGTTTACTATTAACTAGATTAATAAGTTAGAACTATTAGTAGAGAATTTTATTTGCTAGTATAAGTTACTCTACTACTATAGTAAAGTAGACTAGTTACTATCTTACTCTATTTAGATCTATTACCTACTCTACCTTATATCTAATACTAGGGATTTTAGACTACCTATATACTATACCTAATAGTCTTTAAAGAGACCTATTAGTTATATTAAGAAGATAGTAACTTCTCCTTCCTAGAAGTATATTAGTTTAGAGTAGAATATGCTAGTATATAAGCGTATTATCTACGCGTAATAGCTTAGGCTTAGTATAGAGTATAATATTAATAAAAATATAATTATAACTTAGCTATAAGAGCACTATCTAAAATCTAAGTCTTATAGTAGTATAGATATATACTAGGGACGTATCCTAGATAATACTTATACTATAATTATAACTATAGTGCATGCTATATAGACACGCGCCTAGGATATAGTTATATATAACTATTATATACTTCTAAATAGGTATACTATTAGGGTTTTAGGGAATTACAAAGATAGTAACTACCCCTAGAGCACCACGTTTATTATATATTACGCTGCTAGAAATAATTATAATAACTATATTTAGCTCTCCTTTAGGATAGTAATATACCTATTTTAAGATCTAGCTAATAACTCTAAATAGGCAGGAGTACTTTAATAGTAATAGATATAACCTACTGCTGCTATAGGCTAACTAGCCTAACCTTAAAGGATAATAGAAGATAATAATAGTATTAAATAGATTTAAATAACAATAATTATTAACCTTGTAGGAGTAGCTACTATTTACTATAAACGTAGCGCTTAACTTTAACCTAGTAATAAGCTATATATTATTAATAAACGCAGATAGTCTAAGACTAACTACCTATAGTTAAGTAAGATAATAGGTCTATATCTAGCTTTATAGTACTAGGCTCTTTATACTAACACTATTACTACATAATATACTAGTATTTATTAGGTAAGTATATTATCTATATATTATGCTAGACTATTATTAGATATACTAACTTACACTAATTACCACATAGTTATACTACTTATATACCTATTTAATTTATATTATACTATAGTTTTCTAAAAATAAGTAAGGTACGTAGTGGACAGCCTTATAATTACGTAGGTATAGGCTAATTATTACGCAGGTATAGGCTAATAATTAGGCAGTTTTAGGCCTGTTAATTAGGTAGGTATAGGCTGTTAATTAGGCAGGTTAGGCCTAGGGACAGGATAGGCAACAACGTACTAGTAGTTTATATAAGGATACTAAAAAAAATCTAATACTATTATTACTATACCTAACACTTATATTTTATCTTTTATAAACTACTTTATATACTCTACTAATAGGTCTATTATAAACCCCTTTATTTACTCTACTAATAGGTCTATAGTAAACTATACTATGTTTATACTACAAAAAAGTAAACCACTACTTTAAACCTATTTATAGGTATACACAAGGTTAGTTTACACCTATATAGTAAACCCCTAGCGTACTATTCTACAGTAAACAATTTTTTACCGTAGTGCAGGGTGGCCCAAGTTAGACAGATTACGTGATCATGGGCAGTATAAATACCCGAGGGAATCGATACACACGGTATCGATTCGTTTGATATTCAATCGACACCTATTGTCCCAATCTACCACTGAACCTCTATCCCACACCGTGACGTCTTACAATATAACTACACTACTAGGCCGCTAACATCTTCACTATACCTAAATAGGAAGGGCGAGGACGATTAGTCTATTGCGGTGAGGTTTCATCACAGTAAGCTGACCACAGAGGATATGCACATGCCATACCCACAAGTAGTGCAGAGACCTGTTAAGCGATTTCAATTCAAATGGCCGTCTTGAATCCCACTATCATTCTCTCTATAGCCTTTGGTAGTGCTCATAGCCAGGACATACGATGTGGCGGTGCGAACAGTATATCTAAACTAACCAACTACCCAAGCTATATATTCCTAATTACATACTAGCCCCTTGTAGATCTCTAGATGATATTAAGACATGTTGTACCTGTCCAAATGGACCCAACGGTAAGCTCATCACTGTGCTGGTCAGTGGTTAGTACCTCCCAAATTTTAACACGAGTAAGGTTTCATTCTTGTGCTAATAAGACGCCTTGTATAGTGAATTGAAGATCTGTTGCTGGATTCTCGTGTCAACCATCCAATGCGGTGTGCATTAATCAGGAGTAACAAAGCTTGTCACTGTTACCAACTTGCCTCGAGGCAGAATTCGGTATGGCAAGCAAAACACGTGCTTTTGAAGCTCTCCATGCCAATGGGCAATACGGTAGATCGGCATAAGCTCATCAGCCCTTACTAGGGTAGCTGCATACTTGCAAAAGAGTACGATACGATACGGCAAAAACGGTGAAGAAAAGGGGCTTGATGATGCGCCTATATAGACAGTCAGCCATTTGACGCATGAAGCATTCTATCTTGCACTATACTCCAACTAAGTATTGCGATCGAACAAGATGCGTTTCTCGCTCGCTATTATTTTCTCCATGGCCTTTGGCAGTGTGCACTGGCAGTGTAAAGCTCTTGGTGGTACCTCTAAAGATACCTAGCTACGAAAGTTGTATATTGGCCTATTTTCTAGATATAGAGTAGACGAGTGCCTTGCGACAGGTGTTGGTACTTGCTACAATTGTGACGGGCAAGAACGTGCTATTGCGTGTTATCATTAGTAACCCCCGAATTCCGACATTGTTAAACTTTTTTTTGTGTACTTGTGTACTAAGAATGCGTATTTAGGGGATAGAACATATTCAACTGGAAGTTCGTGTCAAACTGGCTACATGTCCTGCGAATATAAATAAGTTGACATTGTCGCATTGGAACAGAACCCGATGTTTTAAGCAGAAACCCAAGTCCTGAAACTAGCGATCTAGGCGCATGCCTAATGCTGTAGATTAATACAAGCTTAGTTGTCTTTGTAGGACTAAGTATATGTTTACCAAGTCACATGTCCTAGCATAGGGCAAATAAGAAGAGAAGAGTTTTTAGTCCTATATATTTAGATAGCTTGGTTGACGCAAGTAACGTTTTATCCTACACTATTCTCTACATATTTTACCAATACTTAATATGCGCTACTCTTTGTGGCCTTTGGCAATGCTTACAGTCAGTGCAGAGCTGTTAACAAGCTGTACCGGCAAAGCTACCTTAATACCGAAGTTGTTTCTTGAAATGTAGACTAGCCGCCTGCGCTAAGAGAAGTGATGCATTTTGCTGCAATTGTGCTTCTAGCATACAAGCTTTTGTTTAATGATACATGTAAAAATTCGTCCCTCTCTAAGTCCCAACACTGCCAAGCGTTTATTTGTATATTGAGAAGGCAGATACAGCGAATGGAGGAGCCCTAATTCGAGTTGATAGGCATAGGATCTGGCTCTGATTCATGAAACTACCTAGTCGCATGCCTAATGGTGTGGGCCACCACGACCTCAGAGGATTCATCACAAATTCACAATAATATTCGATAAGTCACACACGCCCGAGTATGGGATGAAATAGGGGAGAAGAGTTCTTGATAATATGTATTTAAATGGCTCACTTGACCCAGGTAGTATTCACTCTATTACTTTCATCACTCATCATTTTCACTTAACCATTATCCACATACCAGCAACCAGGATGCGCTTCTCTCTCTCTCTGTAATTTTCTTCATGGCCATTGGCACTGCTTACAGCCAAGCCTGTGGGGGTCATGGTGGTATGTTTCAATCCATGTCCCAGGCTGCTATTTTGAACTGTGCTCTGAATAGAATGTAGCCTTGTGCGTGGGGAAAGGGACGAATCCTTGCTGTGACTGTGATACAACAAATGGCTACGCTCTGGCTTGCAAGCGTAAGTTTGTCCTTGTGCTACTCAATCTTCCTTGGCTAACAGGGCGTGCAGAGGATCCGTCTCCTTATCAAAGCAAGTGCGAGTATTATCCTGAGCAAGGGTGCTTGGCTTGATTCGACACCAACACTACACCTGGGAAGCATACCACACGTCGGGTAGTGTCAAGCAGAGCACTTGATTCACAGGTCTGAAGTTATCCAAGCGCATGCGTATAGTGGCACTCGTTATGCAAAGGGCCATCAACGTAGTCGACAAGATTCATCGCATGGTAAAGCTAAAGTACTGTGGTAGTCTTAGGAGGCACAAGCGGCGATCCTTAACAAGATACGATACATAATTTGTACTTTATCTTATTAGTAAGAGCAGCTAACATACGGGGCTTATGTCCAAGGTCTCCTAAGCCTAGGGCTACAAATGTTATTCCTAAATACTACCGGTCTGAATATTCTGCATCTTACCCGCAATAAATCTTAGCAAGCACTTACTCCCATAGCGGGCATCGTCATCAAGAGCGTAAGATTCGTAGATCTCATGTGTTATCTTCTACGGTATGCCATAACACTCTTACATAAATTGAAGTACAGTTAATCTGAAATTGGTACAAAGCCTATCTACGCTCATGGATGCGCGAGATATGCTCCAAGTCATAGAACTACAGCGCAGTGCGATCGGTGAAGAAACGTGCTGATAATGTAGATCGATACCTCCCCCTCGACCTCAGCGGCACTCCACTGTTATTACAGCACGACCCCCTCAGAACACGACAGTTCAAGGTAAACTTCTCTCTCTATGAATTTCCTCAGCCATTAGCAGTCAAATATATTACTCCCACCCTCAACGCCCCAATAATAGCAATCTAGAAACCCCATCTCCATCCAGCCCAACGACCTCAATTTCGCCCTAACCTACTAAAACACTATGTGAATAAGAGTTTCGGAAGCACTTGAATGCCTACCCATGCGAGCAGTAAACAGGCGTAAAACTCCATTGCATTAAACAGACGAAAAACGCTCCTAGATTTCAGCTCTACTGAGCTAGCGTTTGCCAAGGAAAGATGTGGGTACAGGATGATGCTTTTTATTACTGGACATGAGTGCCTGGACACTAATGGCATTATAGAAAAGCTGTCCAGACCAGGTAGATATCTAACCTAGCTACGAAGATGCACCATGGTTCAAAGTCAATCTCGTCCCACCACCTCAGCATATCAGTACTAAACCGTACCACACCAACACCCATACTAAACCACAACACCATAATTCCCCGCGCACTGAAAGTCCAGTAGCCCTTGCTGTAATGAAAACCCCCCCCCCCAACTCACAACCACATCACTTCCCTTCCCTCACCGAACCGCGCCATATGAATCACAACTATCAACACCAATCCACATGACCACAAAATCTTGTCCCAGAAAAGTGCGCCAGCTGCGAAAACCACATAAACAATGAAAAATGACAAGGCCGAGCTCCGCGTAGCCAAGGTGTAACATAGTAAAGCTCACCAGGTTACGTAGAGCAGAGTGGAGAGCAGAGCAAAGCAGAGCAAAAAGTTTGCCATTAGACTACTATTCATCACCATCGCTCATGGTCACCTTGTAAAGCGACTTCATGCTGCATAAAAGAAAAGCTAGTTACTTAGTCACCAGGGTACTGTAACCCCCCTCCCCCCACACTCCAACAACAACTCCCCAAGCCAAATCACGCCGTACTGGATCGACAAGGCGATCCCAAACTCTTACTCCTCTGCATCTGCTGGCGCCGGAGTTGCATCCTCGGTCCACATCGCTGCCAGGAATTGGGCATTTGCAATTCAAAATTGGCTTCACCTTCACTGCCAGCCTCGTCATTGCCGCCGCCCTCGGAAGCCTCGCCGTCTCCGTCGTCACTCGCGTCAGCCCGGCAGGATGCAACAACCAGTTCCTCGAGCAGGCCGCGAATATCCGAGTCTTTTGAGCGCCGCTGCCTTGCAACATGCGGCCACGTATGGCGTGGCTCAGAATTTGTTCGCCGAATAGTGGGTTTCAGTAATCTTCCGCCCTTGGATGCCTCTCTTCTTCGATGCTGTATCTGGCATTGGGGACGAGTGAGGAAAGGAGCGCGATTGGCGTCATCTAGATGGTCTGGTCAATGAGAGGACTTTCCTTTCCCTCGTGCAGGGCACTGCGCATGTTTTGAATGAAAAGGAACAGGAGGTGTGAATGATCAGCGTGGCAAGGTCACCAACCCTCAACCTGAAGATCCTGCCAACCATGCTCCATTTCACCGTCCACCGCCGGCTCTTCTCCCCAATCCATCTTTTCAAGTTCGTTTCGGAAGAAATCCTGCTCTTCTTCGAGGATGCCCGGTTTGGCACCAAGACTTTCCGGGTATCGTTTCAGGTTGTGCCAGTATGTGAGGGACCGCAAAGCTTGCTCAAGAGGTACGCTCTCGTCCACTTCGGCATCAACATCACTTCCTGCTAACCAGTCGTCTCTGAGCTCTGGTCGACAGTGCAGATAGACTGCTGTGATGACACGCATGTTTGACTGTCGCCACTTACGACCGCAATACGGAACTTGATTTTTGAAAAGCTTGAGCGTGTAAAGACGAAGCTCCGGCTGAGGTACCTTGAGACTCTTACGAAGAAACTGCGAGGACTTGTACGACACAAGCATCAGATTGCGGTGAGCTTTGTTCTTGCAGATCTTCTGCATGATCCGCAGATAATTGATCGAGGTGAAGAATGCGCGCCAGGAAAAGTTCGTGATTGGCTCTTTTGGTAGCTCATTGGTAGGGAAGCCCAGCTCATCCACCTCTGGAGGCTGTAGAGGCGGAGGGGGAAGTGAAGACTCAACCCCAGAGTCATTCGAATCCATTCGCGAAAGACGTATCGGTGGTGGAACTGCGTCATCTTCATCAGAGTCACCGTCTTGCTGTTCGGCTTCTTTGTCTCTGATGTCTTCATCCGTCGGCCAATTCCTGGAATGAGCCTTGCAATAGTTGAAAAAGCTATATTGTCAGCGAGCGTAAGCGAAATACACATGCCGTATACATACTTTAGCTCTTCCTGCTCACTCTTGAAATTTACCAGCCGTTCTATTTCTTGCAACTGCAGTAGTTTGAGAATGAGGGGAACATAGCTCGAGTCAACAAGCAGCTGTGTGATGTATTCGAACTTCAAGATGTCTGTTCAACCGTGATCAGCATGCCAAACCACATTGAATGGTATTGAAAACGTACGAGAGACCTTGAACCACTTTAGTATCAAGATGAGAGTGCCAGTGACTGCTTTGTCCAAGACTTCTTGGGTTCGCATGGCATCCAGCTCCTCATTTGTTGCCCCTGTGGTGCTATGTCCGTTGAGTCCATTCATGTCAGGCCTAATAGCGGGGCCATTGGTGTTCTCTTGGAATTGGAAGCCGCCCTGTAAGCCATTGGCATTATTGGACTGAGTGACGAGCGCGGTAACATGCGCAAGGATCGCCTTGATCAGAACTATGATTAGAGACTGAAGATTATGCAGCGAATTGCGGTAAAACTCTTCAACCAACCCCATCCTTTCCTCGACACTGCCAGTTGGATGCGATGGCTTCTCCGGGCCTGAAACTCCGGGCTCAAGAGACAGATGATCGATATCCGGGTAATCATCCGGTCCTGTCCATCCTCTTTCATACTTCATGAAGGCGACTCGTTCTTCCCATAGTTGCTTCATAGCCCGTGTGGCCTTCATACGCTTGGCAAACAACTCCGCCGCTTCTAAGATGGATGCTGGTATATCTGCGCCCTCCCATTTTCGACCAACAAGAAGGTCTTGCAAGTCGGTCGATCCTTTGCCACCCAGTTTGTTGCTTGATTCGTTGAGTGGGGGATACAAAAAGGGGAACATCTGGTTTGTCTGATAGTTTTGCTTCTTGCCGCCTTTGCCACCAGGACCTGCAGGAGAGGGTGGAGGTGATGGCGCAGGAGTAGCGATGTGGACAGGCTGATGTAGAATGGATGTACTGTTGCCATTTGTGTCTCCCAAACCAGAGCCAAATACGTGGTTTCCGGCAACCCTGTTAGGATGGTTCTTCAGAGGTGGCAAAATCGAATTGTTCTCCGGCTCAAGGGGAAATAGTGGGGGCGGAGGGTTGTATGCTGGATATTTCGAGCTGATCTCCTGTCTGAAGAGGTGGTAATCTAGTGGCGAGGCAGTGATAAGCGGCTGTCCCTTGTCATCCTCAGTCTCGAGGCTATCCTCATTTACAAATTCTTTTGCTTTCGCCACTTCGCCGAGTCCACCGAAAGTGACGAGCATCGTCTTCCATAGGAGCAAGGAAACCTTGGTCAGTGGCAAGTTGATGGAATCGTCCCATCTAAGCTTGGCCATGACGTCTACGAAGAATATGAGAAGGCCTGGCTTCTCCAGCGCCAGAATGGCTGTTCGAAGCGTGAGATCACCATGTGTCCTCTCGTCGTTGCGGGCCACTTCCAAAATCACGTAGACAGCAGTCATGGTACACCATATCTCGCGCCTTTCCGCTTCCTTAGTGTCGCGGGGACGTTCAGGCATGCTGTCAACATCGCCACACTCTCGCAAGAGTGCACAACGTAAGGAGTCAACAACGACGTTCACGCCGTTGTTTGCGGCCAGTAGGTGGACGTTCCGCTTGATAACCGCAACTTGTCTGCCGGCGTGCTGGTACGCAGCGTTTCTTGGGTGACTTGGACTTGTCTGAGACTCGGAAACTTCTTCATCACTGTCCCTTGGACTGGGTAGACCTGCAGTCTCGTGCCAGCACCCAAGGAGAACATAGACCAAAGCTTCCAGCATCTTCAGTCGTGCCACGGGGTCTTCCTGTTTGCACCCGTCTAACAGGTGTCGTAAGAAGTCTCGGTGTTGAGTCTCGGTTGCTGCTTCCCAATCCAAACCGTCCTCGCCGTTCTGTGCATCGTTGAGCCCATGAAAGGCGCTCCACTCCATGGCGAACGAAGCCTGCGTCTTCAGCAGCATAGCCTGCTCTTCCACGGCGTATGAAAACCATTCTTCCAGCTCTTCTTCAAACGACGAGGCGTCATCATAAGTGAAGGCATATGGCGTAGGCTCGACCTTGAGTTGGCCGCCTCTGACGAGCTTCTGGAGCTGTGCGAGCGACAACGAATCGTTGTGCGGGGTATCAGGCGGGGGTGCGGGTGGTGCAGGAGGCGGAAGGTGCTGTGGCGCCGGCGTAGGGACTGAATCACCTCGTTGCAAGCCAGGACGTGCTGGACATGTAAGTGGAGGGCCGTTTGGTGGTGGGCGGCCGTCGTCCCCGTCGACGACCATCAGTCGCTGCTGTTCGGCCGTGTCGAGGGGCAAGTTGAGCTCCTCCTCGGGCTCAGCTTCGATGACGGGAAAATCAGCACTGGAATTGCCAATGAGCTCGGCACCGTCGATCACAGGCGGTACAAGTGGCTCGTCGGCCATGTTGTCGTCTTCCATGTTCGGCTAGTAGATGGGTCGAGTTTTGGGGCGTTGCGCTGGCGGGGGTTGTGACAGTTGTCTTGCCCCATCCGCCGCATCTGGGACCGTTTTACGTGTGATTCATGGCAGCAGATCAGATTGGCAACGTGCAAGAGGACAGCATGTAACGCTTTGTTTCTCGTCGAGGTCAAGGGGCGATCGGAGAAGGTGAGCCGGAGAGCGCGTGTGCAGGTGCGATAAGTCACGGCCAGCGCGAACTCGTCGAGCGCAACCAATGCTAGCGCGGAATACCTACAGTGTAGTTACACTGTCGTTCTGGGAGGCAGCTCTATTAACGCAACAGTCGGCTACTTGACGTGGACATCCTGATTGGCAACATGAAAAAAAAAAAGGGTCTCATTTAACGTCTCTTTAAATTTATCGAAGTTGCTATCCATAAGTATCCTAACTGTATTCACACGGTGACTAAAAATTATGGGAGATCCTAAAGCTCTGTGTCAACTTCAAGTGAACCCCCACTTCTTACTACGCGGGGCTTTCTGGGTAAACTACCAAGCGACATATCTACTCAACCGAGCAGATATAAGAGGGTGTGTACATAATCATCGCAAATTACTGCGTTAAATGATACACATGATTGGTCCTTCGACTGGATTCAGGCGCGTGCACGAGTCTGCTTCCGACAGATTCACCACAACACGCTCGAGTGCAGGAACATCCGCCAAACGTTGCATCACGACGGTAGCTGCGGTTGGCACAGATGCTGAGTATATGGGTTCGAAAGCAGGTAATCACGTGTACCATTCATTGTTGACAGAACATCACTGAACATCTCCAACCAAAGGAGTGCCAATCTACTAAACAGCAAGAAAACCGCGGCATCTGCTTCTGATAGAGCGTGCATCGTCAAATACGTTGTCCGATGCTGCAACTTACGACTGATGTCGACATAGATAGATCCCCCGCAAAAACCGAAGGAATGATAGCCCTAGTGTACGCCGGTTCGAGGACGACCAGCCCTTGTCAGATGGCCGGTCGGAAAAAAAGGAATGCAATATCATTGCACTGGAATGACCGGAGACTGACAAGAGGGGTGGACATGATACGCGTTCGCAATTTACGCACTGTATAGCCAATAAATTTCGGAAAGGAAGTTGACAAAAAAGGACGAGTAGAAGAGAAGAAGAGAGCAGTGACGAGGCCCCTATAACTGGCCTTGACCACTTTGTTCACCATTTTCTTGACGCTCTTTGATCTCGTCTGGCACAATCCCGTTGTTCTCGCAGGCGCGTTTGTAAATCTGACACTCATCCCATGCTCGCTGACAGTCGGCCTTGAATTTGTCGCAACTGGTGCTGAGCTCGGTAATCGCTTGCTCTGTGAGGAGTTTCTCCAGTGTCCACTTTTCGATATTTTGTTGCTCATTCTCCTTTAGCTGCGTTATGAATTGTACCGCCCGTTGAAGAATAGAACCTTTGTTCTTCTCGCAACCAGGCACAATCTTGGCCAATTCGTTTATGCCTTCGTTGATGGTTTCACGGCGGCGGCGTTCAACTGGTGCGCTATTAGCTGCTGGGTATGGGGAAAGAGTGTGGAGACTTTTACCTTCTTTATGGTTGTCCCTGCGGACCTTGTGCCATTCCTCGGAACCTACAGGAGGCTTGTGGGAGGCACTTTGCGGTGGCGAGTCGCTTGCAGACGGCTGGCCGGAACGGCCAGACTGTGTAGCAGCTTTCAAGGCCTCCAGACTAAAGTCGACTGTTTGCTGTTGATGGTGATCGCCCATACCGAAAGATCCATCTCCGCTGCCCTGCGTCTGGAATTGCAGCTCAGTCGGCTGAGGAACCGTCATCTGGTGGTAGGCTAGTGCGGCAGCAGCGGTATCGCCTACACTGGCTGTGTTTGTACCCCCATTCTGATGTACGTCAAATTGTTGCTGCATGTCGTCGTTGGCAGCGTTGTGTGCGGCAAGAAAGGAGGCAGTGGTCTGGTCGTCGAGGCCGTTGTGGGGAGCGGGTCGACTGAGACCCTGATCGCGTGTGTCGCGCTTTCGCTTGTTGTTGTGTACGTTGTGTGAGTCCAACTTTGCGTCAGTTGGATAGCCAGCAGTATCAGCCATGGCCCTCGTGGTTACAAGAGCAGTTTCAATGGGGGAGGGTAGGAGGGGGTTTCTTGGTTAAAGGTCGCTCGTATAGGGCGGGCAGAGGGCGTGTCAGTAACAGTCACGTAGGTTGCAGCCGTCGAGGGACACCGGACCGAGTGACAGGCGGGAGTCGTAGCTTGCCGGGGGTGTAGCCGTGGTTGAATGCGCAGCCTGGGGCACAGTGGAGGAGCTTGTGCTGGGTGAAGGGCCAGACGCGCTCAAAGGCTGGAGTCGAAGGCGCAATCCACCGAGGCGAGGGGGCAGTCACGGCGCTTTGCCCAGCAGTTCACGCGCAAACGAGGAAAGCAGTAGGTAGTGGGCCAGCAATCATGCGCCTGGAATGCGCATACAGAGAGCCTGGGAGTGACAAACGTTAGCACGGGCGCGGGCAGTGAGTACGTGGAGGCGGTGCGACGGTGGTTCGGCAGCCGATGGAACAAGCGCATTGATTGCCTCTGGCTGTGCCACCGAACTGTCACTGCTCAAAGGGGCGCCGTCGTATCGCAGAGAAGTGTGGGGTCGTAGGCAGCGCACAATGCCGCCGTGCGCCGTTTCGTCGTGGATGCTGCGCGCGTCTCCCTGGACTGGCCGAGTGCGGGACGTGGAGCAACAGAGGAGCAGCGGCAGCAGCCAGCAGGAGCCGTCGAGGCCACGACAACGGCGGGGGCAGCAGCAGGCAGGCGCATAGCATGGTGTCGCTGCCTTTGTTGTCGCTGCTGGTGCTGCTGCTGCTGAGGAGACGACATGTTGCCAGCGACAAAGCAACGGCGCGCGTCGAGCCTGAAGGAAGCCTGGGACCTGGGACGTTGGATGTGGACGTGTTGCTTACCTCGTGATGATGGAGCTAGGTGGACGCTCGAGCTTGGTTCACGATCACGGGATCGTCGTGGTCGTTGAAGTCACGGTATCTGTGTTGGTCGCAAGGCTGCGGAACGCGGTCGACAGAACTGGGAGGGCTGCAAGAAAGGCAGGACAGACAACAATAATCCGAGCAAGAGAGTCGGTGATGCAGCTTTTCTCTTTTTCTACGACAAGACGCGCGAAATCGCAACGACGGCCGGGCTGATATCTGGAGAAGGGCGATGGATGTCCTGGAGGTCAGGTGTTTGGCATCCGCGTGATCGTGGACACGATGAGAGGGCTCGGCAGGCGGAGCCCCGGCAGCGAATCAGCGCCTTCCGCCACGCCATTACACATTACCTGTTCCCTCCCTCTCCTGTCTAGCCAACACCACCACCACCACGACGCAGCCATCACACAAAAACTGGCTGCGGGCCCACGCCCAATCTATCTTTCCACACCCACACTGTACAGAGCTCAAGACAGTACAATGGTGAGACAACGCCTCGAAAAGATGTAGGACTGTACTGTACTCCTACTACAATCCTCTGTGTGCAAGTCCCTTCCAGCCTCTCCCCTCCCCTCCCCGCACCGTCACTATGAATCGATCCTACTGGCCCCTCCCGGACGCGCATGGCCCTTTGCGCTCACAAAGGTCGGCTCCAAACTTCGCAGAGTCGTAGACTAACCATCGCAACCATGGCTCTCATGACGACCATCCTTACACGCGTTCACATGGCTGCAGTCTCAGACCAAATGCTGGTTGCGCAGAGGGTGGGGGTTTGGCAGCTTGCATGTCACATGCTGCACACCACCGCGCCTTGCCCTTTCGGCGATCGGTCCGATCAGCCAACATCAGTCCAACACTGCGTCTCCACAGTCTTCCCTTCTTGCTCTCTCTTTCCGAGCAAGGGAGAAACAGTACTCTGTATGTTCGCAAATGGCCCATGCTACACAGTCTTTGCTCGGCTATATCTTGTGCCCGGCCCCCCGTGTGTGGCTGCGTGAGTGGAGGACTAGCCCATCTCTTTTGCTCTACCTTGGATCCACATCAATCGTGGACATGGTTCCAGCGAGACGGGACGGTCCAACCCTTCGTCCCAACATGGTAGGTCACATCGGCATGAGCATCCAGCTCCTTGGTGAGTGCCGTTGCCCTCCGTCCTCTCCGTTTCAAGCTCGCAGTGCGTTTCGAAGGAATTCTATCCCAGCACACCTGACGATGAGAGGCCTCCGGTGGTCTAGTTGTATTCGGCTCTAGCGCCCCTAGTACGCAGACGGCCCGTTGATGCATGGCTGGAAAATGTAGGGGAGAACATGGTCCCAGTGATCATGTGCATGGGCGTTGAAGACGTCTTGTCACATGCCACTAGATCGGGCAGTCCTGTGCACCCATCCTCTACGAAAGAGAGATCATTGTCTCAGACACGATGGACTGATTTGTCGCATCTCCTGCCACACCACATAACAAGTCCAGCTTTTGAGGTTCAAGTCTTGCCACTCGAACTTGCCAATGCTTTGTCCGGTCTACACTGTCTAGCCTTGCTAAATCGTCGCTTCAGTCACACTGTCAGCCATGACTAGTGTTTGCAGAGACACTGCAGGTACTCGTAGTCGATCAGGAACTGCAAGATGAAGCTCGTTCACGTTGAATGGCCAGGTCCTCTTACTTCGACCAGGGCCGTATGTACGTGTCAGTGTTTTGTTGTGGAAAAGATGAGGAGGCCTAGTCGAACATTGTCCATCAGAATGACAAAAAGTATCCTTGGTGTCCATTGTCACATCGTGTATCTCGCAGGCAATGTTCGAGCGAATAAGTGTCTCCCCCAGACACACAGTGCTTCTTCGTGCCATCCTTGGAAAGCCGTCGTAGTAGAGTTGCATAGAACCAGAAATGTTTGTCGTTGAACGTGCATTCTCTAAAGTGACTCTCGCCGAAACCATCTCGGTTGACACGTTATTGATCAATGCTTGTCGGTGAGCCAATATGGTCCGCTGTTTACCATGCGAGGACTTGTAAGTTGTCGGTGAACAGGAGCGACTCCAGCAGCCGGTGGAAGTTTGACGCACGAGCCACCAGAATCAAACACCGCGGCCATTGATGACAGGACTCTCTCGACAGAGTACTCCTTCACATCGCCTATATCCTCACAATCAACGAAACTTACTCCGGTATTGTAGCAGCCCCAAAGATGTCAAAGACTGGCGATGGCAGGTACGTAAAGCTTGAAAAGAATGCAAGATAGACCGTTTTGGGCAATATCCACCAATCATTGCGTCGATACAATGGCTGACTTCTGGCGATAGTGGCCAAAGAAGAAATGCGGCCCGTCTTGCCTCACTCGGGCCCTTGCTACCCCGAACGCTCCCCATCCCCGCAAAAACTTGTGGCTGCATACAAGATGTCGGTATCTGCTCTTCTTCTGTCATCACCTTTGCTCTGTTTCCTTTCTATCTTGTTTTCATACCTTGTACATCATTAAGAATCTCCTGCAGCGATTTCACTTTGTTTGTACATACCATCGCATCCCATCTACTGTACAGAGACAGCGACTATAACCATGGCGAAGGTGTTCGATTACGCCGAGGGTACGTTGTAGGTTCTGATGCATAGCTTAGCTAGCGACTGCTAATTGGTACTGCAGTTGCGCAACACAACACAGCTGAGAGCTGCTGGGTCATCCTCTATGGCAACGTCTACGATGTGACGCGCTTCATTCCCAAGCACCCTGGTGGCGCGAAAGTCATTCTCCAGCTTGCTGGCACCGATGCCACGGAAGAGTACGATCCCATCCACCCCCCGGGTATCCTCGAAGAGAACCTCGAAGCGTCCGATAAAGTTGGTACAATCAACCCCGACAGCTTGCCAAAGGAGGAGAAGAGCCCTGTTGAACTTGGGGAAGTCAAAGACGAGGGTCCTGTCGACATGGAGAGCATACTGAATATTGATGAGATTGAGGAGGTGGCTACGAAGCAAATACCGTACAAAGCTTGGGCATACTATTTCTCGGCAAGCGACGACCTACAGAGCAAGGCCTTGAACAATAGTGTATACCGCAGTATCCTTCTTCGCCCCCGCGTATTCGTTGATTGCGTACGATGCGACACATCAACCTCCTTTCTCGGCCACGATGTCAAACTACCCATATATGTTTCGCCTGCTGCCATGGCCCGACTGGCGAATCCAGATGGCGAGTGGGGAATAGCACACGCATGCGAGAAGTTTGGTGCCATGCAGATCATCTCACAAAACGCTAGCATGACGCCCGAGCAAATCGTAAAGGATGCGGCGCCAGGCCAAGTCTTTGGATGGCAACTCTATGTGCAGACGGAACGCGCAAAGAGTGAGGCCATGCTAGCTCGGATGAACAAGCTCGATAGCATCAAATTCATCTGTTTGACGCTCGATGCGCCGGTACCGGGGAAGCGCGAGCTCGACGAGCGGAGCAAGAACATCAGCTCCAATCTTCCCGTTCGCGCCGCAGTCCAGGAGGATCAGAGCGTCAGCAAGACTAGCACAGATGCGAAGACACCGAGTCAGGACAAGGAGAAGCCCAAGAGTATGGGAATGGGTCAATCTCTCTTCTGGGGTACGGCTGCAGACCTGACCTGGCGCACGACGCTTCCATGGCTTGCAAAGCACACCGACAAACCTATTGTGTTGAAGGGCATTCAGACGCACGAGGACGCATACTTGGCATCACTACATGCGCCACACGTCAAGGCTATTATCCTGTCGAACCACGGCGGCAGAGCTTTGGATACCGCACCCCCAGCCGTTCACACCCTACTTGAGATTCGGAAATACTGCCCTGAGGTCTTTGATCGCATCGAAGTCTGGGTAGACGGCGGCGTCAAGCGTGGCACAGACGTTGTCAAGGCATTATGCCTGGGTGCGCGGGGCGTTGGTGTAGGAAGGGCGGCGCTGTTTGGCTTGGGTGCGGGTGGTAAAGAGGGTGTGGCGCGGGTGCTTGAAAGTAAGTGTACTCGTTTCCATGTGGAGTATTCAAAACACGCGAATCCTGACGCCCAGCAGTTCTCAAAGCGGAAACAGAAACGTGTATGCGTCTTCTCGGCGTCGAGAAGGTCGAACAGTTGGGCATGCAGTATATCAACACAAGAGCGGTAGAGCGGGACATTTGGGACGGACCGCCGCTTGAGCGGGCGAGTGTGAAGGCGAAGCTGTGAGCCTACAGCTGGGAAGTTGGGAAGTTGGAAGATCGGCCAGGGACAGAGGTAGATGACTCGAGTCGATACCTGTATGTATTCTTTACTCGCAATGCTAGATCCGTGGCAGAAGGCCTGATTAAAGCCAAAGTGCGCGCCTCTAGCCGCGTAACCTTGTCGTGGCCTGATCATTTTACTAGCCATTACGCCAAAAAAAAACCCAGATTATCCATTTCACAGACCATGAGAGTATTCCTCTGCAGGCCCGACTTTGCTCGTACGATTGCTAAAATTCAAGGTTGAACTTGCGGAACCGTCCTTTTTCGCTGTGTGGATGGGTGGATGTGCGTAGGTTGCATCGTGCAAGAAGGAAAAACAAGAAGTGCCTTCTCGCCCAACTATGTACCGGCCGGTAGCGTGCCGAAGGCTTCATGCTACTCCATTGTCTTGTACATGTGTACCTAGATACACCGTACATACAGCTCTGCGGCCTGACCGGTACCCCCTAGACCGATCCAAGGCCACCAGCCGAGATTACCTGGGACGGGGGAGAGGAGGGTGACACGGCTTGTCCAGATACCAATGTGGAACCATGTTTAGAGGAGGGTTGAGGTTTCTGAGGATTCATGGGTTAAGGGTGTGAGTACCAACGGCCGAAACTTGATTTGGAAACTTGATGACAGAGGGCTGGGGGAGTCTGCGTTTACCCTGTAGGTAGAGTACCAGACAGAGTCCACTAGGCTCTTGGCTGGGATTTGAGTGGAACAGCAGTTCTGGCAGGGCCTTGTTTCACAAAGTTTGTCTTGTGATTAGAGTTTGGGATGAGGTGGTGCTGTTGAGCTTGTATGTTCGGTCGTTTTTTTTTTTGGTTACTCGGGATTCGTTGAGGGGTCGTACGGGGTTTGGCGTGTTTGTGCCGATTGGCAGTAAGAGAGAAGGGGAGCGAGCGAGAGAGAGAGAGAGCCTGTTGCTATGCCACAGGACAACGAAGACGTCACCCTCCATTTCTTCCCCACCCCCACGGAACTGTCGCCTGAGACAAGACCATCAGATAAAAGATACGAACGAACATCGTCATGCCAGGAAATTACCCGGCACTGCGCTACTGAGCACAAGAGAACCAATGACAGCTCAGCCCTACCCACCTCGTCGGTATTACCCTGCAGCAATGCCACGTGTGTAACGATTGAGTTGATTGATACGAATTGGAGAGAAGAGGGACAAAGACTCAGGCCTCACAAGCCAATACATTTGGATCATCCAACGATCAGGCTCAGGCCATGTCTCTATGTCTTGTGTCTTGTGTCTTGTACTACTCACTAGCCACCAACGGTCTTGTTAGTCGGGAGATTGTGTACCCATGGTACTCTACATAGTACATCATTTTACACATGGGCTCCCTGCTCAGAATGAGCTGCCACTGTACATTTCTGTACATGGGTACATTCCACATTCACCCCCCACCCCTGAATGAGGTTCTAGCGCGCCGTCTCTACATTGGTCATCCAACAGTCCAAAAAAAGGGTTGGGCGTAGAATGACGATGCGCAAGTGAGCGGCCGTCTTCTGAAACGAAGCATGGTCGGAGAGCATGTTGGCAGATTGGCCGTTTGTGTGATTGCTTCCAGGATGTGGCCATGCACGTCTGACGTCCTTTTCCACAACGCCTCTCCAATCACATCGCCTTGTCTCCTCTGCTCGGCCTCGACGCTGCTCGGTCGCGGCTCCATTCAGAGGTCCGCATGTCTCAGCGGAGTTTGTGCCCCGGCTGTGGCGGCATGCCTGCTATTGTCATGCCATCAATCTATGTATGCTGCGCGATGCGGTCGACAGGCTCGTCATGGACTTGCGGTCCCTAGCGGTTCGAAGGCGCAGCACGGTAGGTGGGGATCCCGCGGTGAACAAGGAGAGTCAGTCTACTCCTACTCTAGGTGGGTAGAATAGCTAGTGGCAGTCGCCGGCAGCCATCCGACGGCAGCAAGAGGCAGCTTGACGTCGCCATTGTACCCTACCGGTACTTGTAGTAAGAGTCGTAGTTTTTGGCACCAAGAGACGACCTGAGCCGTGGTCCCGCTGCACCGGTAGTGAATCGGCTTCTGCGCAAGTTTCCAAAGCTTCGCTCGGCCAACTCAGCGATCCCTCGTGTTTGGGTAGTCGGCCCTGGCGCGCAGATCCTGGGAGAGCAAGACAGTCATTTGCGCACGACATGCCTGAGCCGGCGACGCTGTGTGTGCCTGGCGTGGCTGTGCGCGCCTCACCATGCGCGGCCGCACACAAGATTGTATTGTGGACAAGGTAACAGTACCGTCTGCGGTGCGCTGAGGGATTCGACAGCAGCCAGACCAGGGCACGGGTTGACGCGGAAAGGCCGAATTGAGTAAATTCTATAAAGACCCTGGAGACTCTCCGACTCGTCAAGTTTGTTTCGAAGCAGACTTCATTGCTGCTTAGGAGATATTAGATAGCAGTCGCGAACTGCGCCTGCTTTCCTTCCCCCCCCCCCCCCCTTCCTCTGCCTCCCCCTTCCCCTCGCCTTTGAAAAAAGAAGCAACTCCTCCTTGTCCCTCGTCCTGGATCTCCCCATTCTCCCTTCATCCGGTTGTCCATCCTGTTGACCAGCGGCTCCTGCTCCCTCTTACTCTTCTTCTTCTTCTTCTTCTTCTTCTTCTTCTTCTCCTTCTACCTTTGCTTCACTTCCACCACCACAACCACGACCACAGGCTCTTGCGCCGCGCCCACGACGTTGCCCATCATCACGCGCAAACAAGCACGATTCTGAACCAAAGCCAGCCACCTCCGCTCATCATGAAGGACTGTCCCACCTGCAGAGGCAATGGCACCGTCAAATGCGACTACTGCAACGGCAAAGGTTGCTCCAAATGCAAGCAAGGCGTAAACAAATGCAACGTATGCGAAGGCGCAGGCGCCATCCAAACCGACTGAAAATCCCCATCCGTCCCCGCTTCCAGACCATCCAGTGTCGGTTTCACACGAGCAGGCCTCGCAGCTTGACTTTTGTACGTCTGCCTCTCTTGCCTTGTCCATTCTCTCCTTGGTCTTTGCAAAGGCATGCCCCATTGGCACTGCCACAGCACCAGCACGCCCCAGTCAGACCTACCTTAGCCCAGCACCCGTGTGTCTCACGCGCAAACTCGCATTCGGACTCGGACCTCTTTTTTTCGGCGGGATGGCATGACCAGGCATTACTCCATGTACACCCAGGTCACCCAACCTAGTAACCAGACCATCACCACATCCACCAACCCACAATCCCCATCAATACCTCGACCGCCATACCGGTACCCAGGAGCTAACACGCCCACCAGACCCATTCTCATACCCTTTTTGTCCACCATCTCTTCTTCTACTTCTTCTTCTCCCTTCCCACCCCATCCCACCACCATGGCACACATCATGTGCGCAGGCCGCAAGAGCGCAGTGCGAAACTCAAAAAAAATCTAATGTTAACTACCACATTCATTCCTTTTTCGGTTACTCCTCTGTTGGCGCCCCGGGTGGATGGCGACACCAGGGGGTGTGGGCGCAACTTGTGGTTCGTGTTGCAAATAATGGGCAAGAGCATCAGCAAGGCCGTTGCAATTTACATTGCGCAACCAGCAAAAGCCAACCAACACGAAGCACAAGCAAACAATGTAGTGCAGACGCCCATACGCACACACACACACACACATACCCGCTCTAACCTTTTTACTCATCACCCATCCCTCTCAAAATCCCACCAACACCAACACAATCTCCGAGTCCTTCCGAGCATTTGAATATATTCCATAGCGTTGGCGTTGTCACGGTCTCTTCTTTTTTCCCTTTTTTTCCTTTTCCCCATCTTCTCCCCCACAACCAACCCATCACCAGCGCGTACAATTCTTGTGCAGTGTACACCCAGCAAGGACCAGGGAACCTACAAGCGCGGGGGAGTCAAGGTGCGGGGACAAGTGGAATCGTGTGGGATCGAGGGTTTCAAGAGGACTAGGGGGTGTGGCCAGGGGGGCTGGTCTGCAGGATCGGAGATTGTTCGAGTTTGTTTTGTTTTGGGTTAGGTATATACATATATATATATATTTACTCTTGCTATTACAGTGCCTTGCCCGTTTTGTACAAAGATTGAGCATGTACGGCGGTGTCATGTTGGTGCACACAGGCTGTGAAGCACATGAATTGGTCGTGTCCTGCAGGAGAGGGAGGCAAGTGACAGCCATGACAAAAGTCTTGATGAAACGAGTCTGGCTGAGTCGTGGCTTTGACGTTTTGGTTTTCCTTGGTGGTTGCCCTCGTTATTCTTCCCTTTCCTTTCCTTTCCTTTCCTTTTGTGTCGCTCTTGTCTTTTGTCGTGCTTGGGTGCATAGTACTACCGACTTGGAGTCCGCCGTACAGTAGCGCATTTCCCATTGCCCATTCGTACTTCTTACCTTGTCACTGTACTGACTAGGTGGTGATTAACTCTTTTTAGTGGTAGTGGTCTTGTTCGCGTTACATTCTTGTTCTAGGTTACTATTCTTGTCATACTATTCTTGTCATACTATTCCTGCAAGACTAATCCTGCATCACTACTCTACATCACTAATCCTGCATCACTAATCCTGCAAGACTATTCCTAGCATTGCATCGCGTAGCGTACATCACGTACACGACTTGGATATAGCAAATAAAACGCACTACCTCTACCAAGACACATTCTAAACACGCCATAGCTGATATGACAAAACATCTCTCATCTATCCCTAAACAAAACCAACCCCTTCGCCTCTACGTCCCCTTTAAGTACGTAGCTGCCAGACCTCTGCTAGACACTACTACAACCTATCCTGCCACGCAGCGTATACAATAGCATAGCCCAGCATCTACACAAAAATAATCCCCACGTGATACCCAATAAACCCCGCTTCCCTTCTCACCAGCATCCCAAAAAAGAACAAAAAACCTAGCAAAAAGATTACATTCCGAATCCGGGAGTCGAACCCGGCCCGGCCCGGACCTCGTCAAACCATTGCTGATTCTTGAAAGCGGGCAATCCTAGCCGATAGACCAATTCGGATAGTTACTTGATGGGATAATGCATTATTGTTTGATATATAGTCTAGCGCAAAAAAAGAACGGAGAGATTTCAATGTTGGTGGACGTCAGGTCGGGAGTGGGGCAGGCGGGGTTAAGCGAGGAGAAGTGTGACGTCATGGACCAGGCGGGATTGGTGCTGCTGCGTTGCGCCGTCAACTGCCGTTGATGTGCCCCAAGGTTTTGCAGTGCAGGTGTTTGAGATGGTGGTTGTTGCTTTGGGTGACTTTGAGGTGTCTTCCTAGGTATAAACTATTTTTTCCCAAGTTTCTTTTAGGGGGGATTCTAGGTCCGGGGTACTTGATAAGTTGGAAATGGGGGTTAGCTAGCAGGTTAGATTGTAGGGTAAAACGAATAGAGTTGATGGTAAGATATAGTATAGTAATCTTGAAGGAGCGGGTGGAGTGGGTAGATGGTGCGAGCTATGAACGTGCACCTATATGTTTATGTTTATGTCTATTTCACTACCTATATTAGTACCAGTAATAGTGTAGAATACAGCGCGTGTGCAGGATGTGCAGATTCCTGATGTATGATGCTTGATTAGTGTGATAGCCTGTCTTCATACAAGTGTGTTCTGCAGAATTGCAGAACTAGTGCTTTATGGAATAAGGATAGGATAGGATGGCATAGCATAGCATGGTGTCATAAGGTGTCTTAGAGCACACTGCAATACTGCAATATATACCCTCTACAACCCTACACCACCTCATGCATCCCATCCTCACTCTCGCTCCCACTTTCCCCCTCCTCCTCCCCCTCCAGCCCAGTTGGCCACGCAAACACCGGATCCCCCTCCCCCTGTACCCCTCCCATCGACTCTGTCCCAGCCCCAGACTGTGCCCTCGCAGCAGGTGGTTGCTCTCCGCCAGCAGCCCGATCTCCCCCCTCTGCACTATATGTGGGAATCATGGGATCTTGGCGCTGTCCCAGCCGCGCGGCGTTCAAGGCAGCAAGTCGATCGCCGTGTGCGTCGCGCGGGGAGCTGTGGAATCGAGTGGGTGGGAGTGGAGTGGAGATTTGAGCGGGTGAGCGGGTGGATTGGTGAGTGGTAGTGGGGAGAGGGGGGGACGTAGAAGGGGAGGCAGAAGGAGGGGATGGATTGGGTGTGACTGCTGCGTTTTCCTCGCCCAGACGCGCATGCTTGAGCCTAGGGCTGGGTGTCATAGCCGGTGGCTCGCGATTGTAAACTTCGCTCGCGTCATCAATGGGAGGTGATTTGGGTGTCGATATCGTCATCGAAGATGTTGGGTTGCGATTCTGCGTCACAGGAAACTCCGTGGATGTAGACTCAGCCTCCCTCTTCTGTCGTTTCCTATCTTCGACCTCATCCAACATGCCTTCAACGTCAGTATCGCGTCGCCGCTTCTTCCCCACATCCCGAATCACATCACCCAATATATCATCCAGCAACGGCGACGGCAAGAGCGCACGCAGACCCTCCAGCGGTGTGCCTTCATCCTCAACACTCGCCGTCGCCAACGCACCACTCCCACCGCCTGGCTTCCTAATGTCCAAATCTCCCCTTTCCTGCTCAAATTCACCGAGTATATACCTCATCACCGTATGCACCGTCTGTACTGTCCGCTTCGGATCGACACCGCTTCCCTCATTGTGACTCGCTGGGACAACTTCCTCGTCAGAATCGATGCCAAGTGCTTCATCGAGCCGGGACTGGTTTGCTGCCTGTAGAGTTTCTAGGCTGTTGAGAGATGGTGGGCTGGTTTTGGTCTCAGGACTCCCTGGGTAGCGTGGGCTGGTTGCGGGGTCGGGACTCCATGGGTAACGTGGGCGTTTGCGTGATATTTTCTCCTTTGCGGCATTCTAGTACGCGGTTGGGTCGCACTGCCAGGCTTCGCAGCGGGGGCGAGCTTTTGGCTTCTTTAAGGGCTTGCTGGTGGGTATGCTGGTGTCTATGGATTTGAAAGGGACATGGGATGGCGGGAGGCGTTTGATGTAGCAGGATGGGGCTTTGGGAGGGGCATGCGTGTAACATCTGTGCTGGTATTGGACTGTCCCGGATTTAGAGCCATGAGATTGTGGCCTCGAGCTCGATGCTTCGGCGTGAGGTTCTAGCTCCATGGCATCGTCAGTCCCCTGAACCATCTCCGTTGATAGCTCCGGCATGATTTCCCTCATCGACGTCTCAGTGTTGTCCGATACCAAAGGACGTAATTGAGACTTAGCAATAATAGGAGGACCCATGGAACCAAAAGGCCGCTTGCCAAAGGATTTCTCAAATGGCAATGGCAGCGTTGACCTCGATTCACTGTCCGAGCTAGGTGAATCAAACGGACCAGGTGAATTGGGAACATCGAATTCACCTTCCCCGCCCACTTCGACACCAAGACGCCCAGAAGAGGCTGGTGGCGGACTACATGGCGAGGGAGGGGTTTCATACCCATCCGGACGTTCAGGAACATGCGGAATCGGTTTGAGCAAGAGGCCATCTGGCGGCGGTCTCCCCTCACGCTCCGCCTCCTCAATCTCCTTGATCCTCTGCTTCTTCATCGACAGAAAAGTGATTTGACCCACGTAAACCTTCCTACCTTCTTCCAAGCTTCGTTCAATATCAACGGGCGGGCTTCTACGAGGGCAATCTGCAGGACAAGGGTACCCATCGTGGGGATGTGGTATTCCCAGGCCAAGCTCACGCGCCAGCTCCATTTGCGCAGGAGAATCCGCCTCGTGGAATTTGAGTCTGCGCTCGACGCGAAGGCACCATGATAGGATGGGGTGTTGCCAGACGGATAAATCAGCAAAGGACGAGAATAGAGGCCGGTGCGTTGCCATGAAGGCATCAACCTGCGTCTCGATGGACTCAACGTCCTTTTGCCAAATGCTGTCGAGGAATACTAGGGTGGCTGCGATGAACTCTCTGCTCAGAATAGTGTTGGTGTTGATACGACATGACCATGGGACCATATCCATGTCTTCCCTGGTATACTGTCTGAAGCCTCCTTTCTTCGCAGAACCATTTAGTCCTTTGGCGACCTGCTGTTGCCGGCGTTTACGTTGGCGTTCTAGCTGTCGTTGATAGGCCAACTTGATAGCACGATCATCCACGCTCGAGAATCCCTCATCGCCATATTCCGAGTCACTGTCGCCAGCAGCTTCAAGTCCAACCGTTGGCGTAGGATCCAGACCAGCGCCCGAGTCAAAACGTCCTTGACTCATTCTGCCCCCGCTCACGTTGCCGGTTGCAGACCTTGAAGTCGAACAGTCGATACCAGACCTCCGGGGGCCCGTCACCTCTGATCGAATCCAATCAAGTACCAGATTACGAATACTTTCAGGACCTTGGGTCATGGCTGGCAAACTGCGAGATTGACGCCCATTTCCTCGTACATTGTGTCCTCGCCTGTCGTGCTCAAGCTCCGCTTCCTAGTCAGGAGTTGCTTGGGTTTGCGCTCGCAGCTGGACCGATACGTCATCTTGAACCATAGGGCTCGTTCGAAGTCCACCTGTATCCTGTCCATCGAAATTATTGGCATCTTCTAGCTCTCCGGCTTGCCGAGGTTCCGGTTGCGCAGTATTCTGAGTTTGGACTTGACTCTCGTTATCGATCTGCAAGCTCGAAGCAGTAGGTGCATTGCCACCGGGGCTCCCCTCGGCCTCAATCAAACAGTCAGTTCCCAAAGGAGCCTGAGTCTCATCACCACCCTGCACCCTCTTCAAATCAGCAGGCTCATCATCCTCAATCCCACTGTCCGTTTCGCCCTCAGCATCAACATCAGTATCCGCCTCGCCCCCAGCACCAAAATCACTATCAGTCTCGCCCTGAGCATCGACATCGTCATCGGCAAGCAACTCCATCCCATCTTCAGTATTCATAGCGAGAGGTATGGTAGGAACACTAAAGCCCCTGAAAAAAAAAAAGAATGGATGCGCACGCAGAATGAAAGTTTATTGGGAGAAGAAGAAGAAAAATCATCTGTTGGGAGAGAGGAAGAAGGTGGTCATACCTGTGAACTGAAAGAGCAAGTGAGCAAGTGCGTTGGGCAGCCCATGGCAATATTGCAATGGGAAAGCGGGAATTGCAACGCCCTAGCCCCATTACAAAGTCGGTTGATTTACGCTTTCCTTTATATACTGTATACTCTCATATACTGTATACTCTCATATACTGTATACTCTCATATACTGTATACTCCCCAACCCCAGCGCTACTGTTCAAACATCATAGTATTAATAATACTCCCAATACCCTCAACACACACCTCGACCTCATCCCCATGTTTCAAAAACCCCTTTGGTTCCATAAACAACCCCACCCCACTCGGCGTACCCGTTAGAATCGCCGTTCCCGCCCTCAACGTCGTGCCGCGCGAGAGATGCTCGATGATCTGGGGGATACCATGAATCATATCGTCGGTGCAGGTCTGCTGGCGCAGCTGGCCATTGACCTTGGTGACGTAGTGCAGGTTCTGGGGATCGGGGATGGCGCGGGGACTGGCGATGCAGGGGCCCATGGGGGCGAAGTGGTCGAAGGATTTGGCGTAGCTGAATTGGCCGCCGGAGATGGAGGCGGGGAGTTGGTAGTTTCGGGCGGAGAGGTCGTTTGCGACGGTGTAGCCGAGGATGTAGGAGGGGGCTTCGGCGGCGGAGACGTTTTTGCAGTCGCGGGAGAGGATGATGGTTAGTTCGCCTTCGTAGTCGAGGGCGGATTGGCAGGTTGGGGGGATGGGGATGGGGTCGAGGGGGCCGGCGAGGGCGTCGCGGGGTTTGGTGAAGAGGGCGGGCATTTTGGGGATCTCGAGCTGGGGGAGGGGGTCAGTTGATATGTGTATACTTTTCTGCCAAGGGTGGATATGGATGAAGTATAAAGCCATACATTACACTCCAAAGCATGCTTCCTATAATTCAAGCCTATGCACAAAACTCCCGCCACCATCTCTTTCTCCAACGGACACAACAACTCCTCCACCTTTGCCTTCCCCTCCCCCTTTCTAAACCCAGTCTTTATATCCCCCTCCAGCACATCCACTTCTCTCCCCAGAATCTCCCTCGTCGGCGTCTCCGCACCCAAGTCCCCGTACAGAACCGCCCCGTCGGCGGTCTTGAACCGAATCAATCGCTCGAATGTGGCCATGGTGCAACGAGGTGATGGGGTTGTGTGGGCTGTGTTGGCGCTCGTGAAGGAGGAGGAAGAAGGAGAGGAAGAGGAGAAGGAGTAGCAAGATAAGTAAGAAAAGAAGAACAAGTACAACAACAACAAAACCCCCAGCCGAGTTCACAAACCAAGCACCTTCAACCTTAACCCAACGACGTCCTCCAAAACGTCCCCCGCTACATAACTCTCCCCCACCCCACCTTACCGCACCCCATATGCGGGGACCCTGCAAAAGCCCCACGTTCCTAGCACAGGTTTTGCGCGCGGAGATCGGGATCGGGCTCGGGTTCGGCAATTGTGTGCGGGTTGGGTGGGGGAGCTATACCTACCGGTAGTACTTGTACGGGCCTACGGTTTACCAAGATGGGGGTAGGTCGTGAAGTACTACCAGTGCTACTGGGCCATGTCCAGCGTACGCAAAAAGCCGCAGCAAAAAGGCGATGCGATGCTTGTGATGGATGATGTGTTTGTTTCAAGATGCTGCGCTGCCCATCTAGAGTAGGGTACATGTGGGTGAAAGCATACTACGCTTGCACTAGGTAGGGGTGTAAAGTAAATTAAAGTAAAGAAAAAAAAAACTCGAGTAAAAGGTATCCAACGTCTCATTCACGAGGGCATCAACTACACTACACTACTACTACACTACGCTACCCACTCATCTCGACATCGCCATTGCTATTCGCAGCCCCATTCACACCCCCATTTGCCTGCTCACTCCCACTCCCACTCCCACCAGCCCCCAGATCCAAGCGACTCAAGCATCCGGGACAATTATGCAGCACCATATGCGCAAAGACATCGCAATCGATACAGAAATGGGAGTTGCAAGCCTGGCATTCATAGCGGCCGGACGGACTGGCCCTCTGGTCCTCGCCGTCTAGCGCGTCGTCTTGGGTTGTGGACGCGGCGTGCTTTCGTGGCTGCGTTGCGTCGTCGTCTTCATCTTCATCTTCTACTACGTGCCTGTTGTTGTCCTTGGGGGGTGGTTTGCTGAATGCTGCAAGACAACCTGTGCACTGTGTACTTCCGACTTCGCGGGCACGCGCCCAGCTGACGGTGGCCCAGTTGCGCAGGGGGAACAGGTGGTGGTAGCTTCGAGCCAGATGGGTGGAGAGGAGGAGAGTGAGTTGACAGCTCGGGCAGGTGATGGGCAAGGAGCAGACTTTGGCGCTACAGCGCGAGCAGGTGTAGCCTCCCAGCGTCAGATTCCCATGGCACGCACACATGGTCAATTGGTCTTCAATGACGCGGGACGGGAATCCCATGCGCATGAGGGCAGCGGCCGATTCGGGCGGCGGCTCGGTGCCGGACTGCTTGGTTTCGCGGACGACGGGGGGTGTGGTGGTGGCGAGGAGGAGCTCTTTGAGCGCTTCTTGGTCAATCGCGACGGTGTATTCGCTCGTGTCGCCGGCGTTTGTGCGGGTAACGATTTCGGTGCAGATTTTGAGGCGTGCGCCCATGCCGATGATGCTCACACGTATGCGATCGCGGACGCAGGCTTTGACGGTGGTGTGGATGTCGCCTGGATCCAGACTGAGTAGGCTGCCGAATACGATAATGACTTCTCGTGTGCCATGGGGTGGGGTGTGGTATAATGTTGCTCTTGCTAATTCCAACGCATTCTGTAGACTGGGCGCGCCCTTTGGCTCTTTGCCGTCTTCTTTACTTCGTAATGAGGCAATAGCGGCGACGTGCTCTGCTGGGTTACCTGAGAGCTCCGAAACGCGTATGCAGACCCCATCGTGCATACCGAGCACGCTCATCTGCGAGATGGGGTTTTGCTCAAAAAACTCGCGAACATAGTCTTGTGTGTAGTTGATCATAGCAAAGAAGCGATTCGGCCGCATATCCTTTTCCATCATAGCCTCTGACAGGTCAAGTACCAGGACAACGTGACGGATGATGCCTCGTTGAAAGGGCTTCGTGTCTTTCCGTAATCGCTTGCGCTTGCGCTCCTCCTCGCGCTCCTGTACGCTCTGCCCAACTATGCCATTGTTGACGGGCTGTACGGTCTTCTCTACTGTCCGCGAGTATTCTGTCTCCCATGCCTGACGCCGTGGTGCTGCCTTCTCCGGCTCGTCCTTCTTCCGTCTCTTGCTACTCGTCGACTGTGCGCGCGTACCTGAGCCAGTGCCCTTGCTTCTGCTGGCAACATACTCGTCTTCGGAGCCATCACCTTCGAAGGAGTAATCGGAATCGGCCATGGCGCGTGCGGCGCGTGCAGCGCGTGGGCTCTTGGCGTCGTCGAAGTTCAGTAGTAGCTTGGGTGCTAGTTGGAATTCCAAACGTATCGGAGTTTTGGCTGGATGTCAGGATCTGTAGGCCCTGGGCTTGGTGGGCGCGCAGAGGATTGCGTGCTGAACGATGGCCAAGTGCAGGGTGACGTGCGAGGCCGGGCTTTGTCTCTATGTAGCTTCACCTACGAGTGCCTGGAGACGAGGGTAGCGCGATCGATGCAACTTGGCCTTTTCTAGTCGTTGTCATGGTCAGTAGCTGCAACGTTAGTGAGGCAAAGCCAGTGAAGGCTACCTGAAGTGGGAGAATTTCCGAATTGAAGGGAACATGTTCAATGCACGCTGCACAATGACGGGAGCGTGTGTCGCACGTGACAAACCACGACGCGCCTTCACGTTTTCACAAATGGGCGTTTTGCACGTCGAGACATGGTCAACTGGAGTTACAACGTTATTCAATATCTGAATCATGGCAGCAAACATTATCTGTGTATCGTGATACCAGCCAGCATGACGCATCCAATGCGTCCCAAGAGCCACCAAAACAATGGAAATACGCTATGCTCGGAAAAACTCCTCATAAAACATTACGCCGTTTCCTATGGTCACTTCCTCCACATGCTCCTCCCCGCTTTATATTAGTTATAGCCGGCACCTGTAACCGTCGGCATGGGCCAGTCATCCTCGGTGATGCTCGACCAGAAGATCCAGATCATGACGATGGAGAGTAACGTGAAGAGGGTCGAAAATAGACCGCCATTGATCTTGCCGTCGGTGCCAGTGCAAATGTGGACGCTGATGACGTATTGGAAGATTTGGCCAATAGCGAAAAGGAGAGCGGCGGTGAGGAGATAGACTACAGAAGAAGTTAGTTACATCGAGGTAGGCGCGGAGACTGGGTAGGTACGCACGCATAGGCTTGCGTTCGCCGAGGATACGGAGCACGAGGAAGGCCTCGAGCAGGAAGAATATGACGATGAAGAGCAGCGGTACGAGCTGGTAGAGGGTATACAAGGCATACGCCTGGTTGGGTCGGGCCAAGGTAGACTCCCAGTAACCAGTCCAGCTGAAGCCCGTGTCAAGCGCAATATAACCCGTGCCAACAAATATAATGAGCGATGAGATAAGTAGAAGACCCACGGATACTGCAGTGCCATCGTCCAGAAGCTGATAGCCGACAGCTCCATTGAGCATGAGTATCCAAGAGGTTGCAGTGATGGCAGCGATATGAATGGCAGTAAAGGCCTAGGCAGGTATTAGCTCAAGGTTGGACAGCCGAGCATGAGGGAGCGTACAAGCCGTGCGCTGTCGTTGAGTGGGAAGCCACCAATGGTGAAGATTTCACAAATGGAGATTAAAATGTAGCCGAGGAGGAAGAGTTGCATTTCCCTGGTGCACGGTCAATGGGAGTGGATTTTTCAAAGCTTGATTGATTGTCGCAAACCTTCTCCCGACAGCAGCCTTTTTCCGTTGGGTTCTCCATAGCAAAAAGGCGGTTGCGACGATGGCAATTCCACAGAGGATAATTGAACCTCAGGTGATGTCAGCACGACGATGTCTTGCGCAGATGTAGGGTGCGACTGACCCAAATTCCGTAGCCTTTCTCCTCCGCCTACAGAGAAGCCTTCGAGATCACAGCCTCCCCATCCTGTTCCCCGTTTTGTGGTTGCTTGGTTGAAGAGCTATCGAGCAGGGCGGTTAGCGTGGCGACGGCGAAGATGGAGTGGGCAAAAGGGTGGTGACGGGTGGTGGTGGTGTGTTGGCGACTTACATTGCAAACTATATGATGAACAGTCAGCGAACATTCAAGGTATATACAATTGTAAATTATATAGTGAAGGGGGGGAGGGCCAGTCATGGGTGGTGATCGTACCAGGGAGTGTGGATCCAATGTTGCCCGTGTCGCGACAAAAGTCGTCGAATTTGCCATATCGCGACATGGCTGGCTGCAGCGAGTGGAGCTCCTCAGCCTCGGGTTTGGATTGGGGAGTGGATGCAGTGGGAGAGCGAAGGCGGTGGTGGTGGTGCTGGGGATATAGCGACGTAGCGACGGGAGGACGAGGGAGGTAAGTTGGCGCAAATCGTGATTGGGAATGGGTGTGAAAGGGAGCCGTCGAGTGCACAAGGGCAAGGCGGGCGCCGGGGAGGGGGGGGGGGAGGAAGGGCTGCGAGAGATGATGCGCGGCTGCACAGCAAGGTTGGCGTGGCTGGGGGCAGTTGGGCGAATGTTTCAACCTTGAAGAAAACCGGTCCAAGCTTGGTGGTAACCAAGGATTTCTTGCGCGCATCAGCAAGTTCAAGTCGCAAACTCACACACCAGACACGCACAACACGCCAGGACAGGGCCAGATATCTCACGCTCGCGAGATGTGTGTAGAGATTTATGCATATATATATATACCTGTATACAAGCATGAATTTGTCGGTGACTCTGTGTTTGGGGGCTGGCTAGATTTCAGTCACAGCTCTCCGATCAGCTCTCCCAAGGGTGTTCTTTCCAAGATGTTCCCTTTCAGGCCTTCATCAAGTGCCAGCCGCCAGTTTTCTTCCCTGTTGCATCACTTTCACTCTCCATCAAAGGAGCTATCGTCTGCCGAGAGGACAGGATAATTTCACGTCGGCCAATCATGTCCGCTACTTCCGACGCGCCAGTATGTTTGGGGCTTAGCCGCTCACAGCTGCACCGGTAGAACAAGCCACGCGCCGCGATTCATCAAACCTTGAAAAGTCACCGACAGCCACGAACACGATCGCCTGGCATAGCAACCATTAGGCACATACATGGTTCATGGTACACACAGGGTATAGTAAGCTCTTGTGGTGGAAATAGAGTGACTAGGATAGACTGCCATGACAGATGTGCTGGGCACTTGTCCTCACTTGCACTCCACTGCACAACGTCATCGCCCATTGCTGACCACCGCCACTCTTCCACTCTTCAACACCCCCAGCCCCAACTTGGTTGTTTCTTCAACCGCCCACAAACTGCCGAGCCAACCGAGGAGCAGCAAGAGTGTTTCCACATGGCATCCATCGCGTCGCCAATGCTGGCGTCTCACCAACCTCACAGCCACTTGGCCTGTACACTGTGGCTATCAGCGAGTGCGTACGTAGAGTCGGCATACCAGTAAGAACCTACTGGCAATCTCCACACAAACATAGCACAAGTCAGTCACCATCGACTCCTTACTACAGTACTACTGTGATGGAACCCCATTTGTTGAGCCCACTACCTCGCCAGAAGAATGGGGCCATTACCCACAAGCAAATATCCATTTCTGGGGTAAGCCAAGCCAAGGCAAGGCCATCCTTTGCGACACCGCCGTTTCCATGCTCTCCAGCGAGCAGTCGGCGACGACATCGTGGAATGCTGCTAGAAACTTTGGCCATCCGCTTCTGGTAAGTACCAAGGTCCAAGGGGGTACCTACCCTACTACCTAACTACCTATGCACAGTACCTACACAGTACCTACCTACCTATGCACAGTACCTACACAGTACCTACCTACCTATGCACAGTACCTACACAGTACCTACCTACCTATGCACAGTATATACGCTGCTTGTCAACCGTCAAGGATCGGTTGTAACGTCAGAGGGCCAGCCATTGCGACTTCTTCTTCGTCAACCGATCGACAGAAGCTCTCAATTGAATACTAGACACGGTCAGTGTATGCACCCTGGTAGCATGCTTTGAAATCCAGTGCCTATCTGATCACAGTATATACCTACCTATCTTCGATGATATCTCCACACCCTCACCATCCCAGCCACGTGTATCTGTAGATTGTACCTATGGAGAAGGATGTGTGCGATATGTGAAAGGGTGGAGCTGTGTCGTCGCGTGACGATGGCCCGAAACCTACCCACCTAATCCTAATGCCTCTTGACAGTCCCCCACGAACATGGCGCTGCATAATTACGTAGGCTGCATGTACGGTAGGTATGTGATAGCAGGGCTGTGTAAGTAGAGTAGAGAAGACAGAGTATAGACGCTGGTTGGCCTAGTATAAAATCTCTCTCTGCGGATCCTCTGCACCTGTACCGAGTGCGGTAGGCCTCGATGATGGTGGCATAGGCATCTTGTTTTTTTGTCTTGAGCTGACCATGTTGTGAGAGATGATAGTCCTGACACCTACCTAGATACCGGTACCTACGCTACCTTGGCTATGCACGCACTGCACTTACATGCTGTCAAACATGTATGGGTCCCCGATGATGGCGATGGCGCACATGACAACACGCCGTTCCCACACAACACAGAGGGAGAGGAGGTAGAAAGTACCAGATAAAATAGGCGCCGTTCGCGACCATCTCCTACTGTTCCCTCGCGGACCGATGAAGCAAAGCAGAGGAAAAGGGCCGCCAAGCAACGGGGAGCTCCATTACCTACTACTATAGTAGTACATGCACGGGGTGGTTGACGGACAGTAAGTGGCCCATGGCCCATTGGCTCCGCCGGGGGTTCAGGGACCAAGACAACCCACCCGTGTTGCTCTTCTCAGGCTAGGTACTCCCACCCCCCCTCCCCCAAGTGACAAAGTCCCAACTGGCATGCTGCTCTGATCACGAAGCACAACGACGATTGTGCCCGAAGTCGTTCCTTGGTCCTCTCCCCGTAGCCAAATGTGACCAAACCTTGACCGCTCCCGCACCGCCGCGCTTACACCATTCCATCCTGTCGGTTGCTTAGCCTTTGGGCCCTGTGACGTGCACCCGACCAGCTGCTGCACCTCGTTCGTTCCTACATTCACCATTGTGGAGTCGGGCTGCTCCCAAACAGCCGGCCACCGTCAAGATTCCTTCCCTCCCACACAGTGAAAGGCGGCCTGCTAACATCCCGCTGCACACCCTCTCCCCGTCCGCCCGCCCACGAGACCGCGACGACGGCGACGACGACCAGGACGCTGCTTATCTGCTCGACCATCACGATAAGGACAGCACTCACTCCTCCTTCGACACCCCCGACTCCGACTCCGACCTTTCCGTCTGGAGTGACACGGGTGATCTTGTCGACCAGCTCGCCGACAGAGAGGACCCTCTCCGCATCCGACTGCGCGAGTCTCTGGACCAAGGCCAGCCGTCGGGCCGCCGTCGAACCCAAAAGCGAGCTCGCTTTGCGTCCCAGCACGACTTGGACGAAAAGTCTTCTCGACCCATTCGCAAAGAGGACATTGAGATTCCCGATCCGGGTATCCAAACCATCTCCAGACCAGCCCGCATTCTTGCTGCCATCATGGCACCCAACGATGGACCCTCCCGTATCCACGGACTGCATGGAAAGAAGCTCATGTAGGGCTCCCTGCCTTTTCTCAAAAACACCACACATAAACAAGAACATACAGTACTGACGGCAGCAGATACTTCACCAGTATCTTTGTATCATTAGGTGTCTTTCTCTTTGGCTATGACCAGGGCGTCATGTCCGGAATCATCACGTACGCCGCCCCCCCCACCCTCCGTACTCCCACCCATCTGACAGCACACACGCAGCGGACCCTACTTCAAGGACTACTTCAACCAGCCAACCGCCGTAGAGCTCGGCTCCATGGTCGCCATTCTCGAGATCGGCGCCTTCATTTCCTCGCTCATGGTCGGTCGCATCGGGGACATGCTAGGTAGACGCAAGACCATCCTCTACGGATCCCTCATCTTCGTCGTCGGTGGAGCCCTGCAGACCTTTGCAACCGGGTTATACATGATGCTCCTAGGCAGGATCATTGCGGGTCTGGGTGTCGGAACGCTTTCGACCATTGTGCCCGTCTATCAATCCGAGATCTCACCGCCTCACAACCGAGGCAGGATGGGCTGCATCGAATTCACAGGCAACATCTTGGGATATGCCGTTAGTGTCTGGGTCGACTACTTTTGCAGCTACATCAAGGGTCACTGGTCATGGAGAGTTCCTCTGGCGATGCAATGCGTCATGGGCCTTCTTTTGGCCGGTGGCAGCTTGCTCATTTGCGAGTCTCCAAGGTGGGTTCATGCGCTAGGATGCCTGGATGAGGACTCATGCTAATTTCGTTCTTATAGATGGCTCCTGGATAACGATCATGACGAGGAGGGCATTGTAGTCATTGCCAACTTGTACGGCAAGGGTGACATCCATAATCCCAAAGCACGCGATGAGTACAGAGAGATCAAGATGAATGTGCTCTTGCAGCGACAAGAGGGGGAACGGTCCTACGCCGACATGTTCAAGCGCTACTCCAAGCGCGTGTTTATTGCCATGTCTGCCCAAGCCCTTGCCCAACTCAACGGCATCAACGTCATCTCCTACTACGCGCCACTCGTATTCGAGGAAGCCGGATGGTACGGTCGCCAGGCCATTCTCATGACTGGAATCAACGCCATCACCTATCTCCTGTCCACGATTCCGCCTTGGTACATTGTGGATACGCTAGGACGCCGCAAAATTCTCTTGTCTGGGGCGTTGATGATGGTCATTTCGCTGTCCGCCATATCCTACTTCATCTTCCTACAGGCCAGCTGGACGCCAAACATGGTTGTCATATTCGTCATGATTTACAATGCTGCGTTTGGTTACTCGTGGGGTCCCATTCCATGGCTATATCCACCAGAGATTCTGCCTCTTAGCATCCGAGCCAAGGGCGCTAGTCTTAGTACGGCTACGAATTGGGCATTTAACTGGCTGGTGGGCGAGATGACGCCCATTCTGCAAGAGCACATTCAGTGGCGCCTGTACTTGATTCACGCCTTTTTCTGTGCTGCTAGTTTTGTTATTGGTAAGCCATTGGTGAAAAGTAGGAGACGCATCAAAGAGCATTTGAACTGACATGATCATAGTGTACTTCATCTACCCTGAAACCGCAAATATTCGCCTGGAAGATATGAATTCGCTCTTTGGAGACGCCACCACCGTTGTGGCTACGCCGCAAACCCTGGCCGAAGCAGAGTCACTCTTCAGCGGTGGTCGAGGCTCTCCCGTTCCGTCACTCGACATCCAAGGCAACCGTCGTGCTGCAGAAGATGCGATTCCCTCGATGGCTATCGAGCCCCCGGATATGGAGAGCGGCAAAAATATGAGCAAAGGCCAGGCGGGGACTAGCGAGGGAATCGGTGGCTGGATCAGCAATATGGTCAAGAGAACGAAAGGGAACGGCGAGGGTGACAGCTCGGGCGGAAAATACAAGCAAGTCGGACAAGATGAGAATTAAGACACGCGTATCGCATTTGTATAAGGATCATTTTGAAAGTATTTGGGCATCGCCTAGCCCTGATTGGCATTGGCAGTGAGCATGACAGGATCATTACGAGCAAAAAGGAGCTCGAATTGTAGAAATCCTTGGACTGGGTCGAGGGCGTATGCATTGCTAGGAGCAATTACTCGAACACTTTTTTTTTTCTGGGTACAATAGAAATGACTCTGCCTGTCAGAGTTGGTAGTGTAAGTTGCTTGAATGTCTAGCAGGACGTTTTGCTACAGATGCGATTGTCCATTGCGTACCCAAGGTGCTCTAGCCAAAGTATATCGCACCGGCCGGCCCGATGTGGCAGGGGGGGGACCTTCCCAATTGGTATACTAGTACTACGGACGAAGTCGACATGCTCATTGTTCGAAGTGCTACGATGGGGGAATTGCCAAAGTGCTGGAGCCATTCTAGACGTGCGGGCTTGCAGGTGGACGGATTTTCAGAAATGTCATGTGACATGGCAACAGGTGTCCCGTCGGTTCCCATGTTTCCCCTTGCACACACGGTTGGCCAAGCTAGCTTCCAAAAGGTGCTCGTACTACAGTCTATTTCCGTACAGCCCACCTTCTCCTCGATAGCTACCACCATCGCAAGGGGCAACTTCACTTTCACTTCTGCTCTCTCCCTTTTTTGAGCAGCCCCATGCTCTTACTTCCTTTCGCGGTTTCTTTCTACGGCTCACTTGCCACTTTTAATCCATCTTCTTTCCCCAGGTTCTTTGCAGTGGTTGCGCAAGCCCCGTAGCACCACCACAATCACCATCCAGCGGTACCCACCAGACTCAAAACCCGAGTCACGGCCCTTCCCCATAATCTGCGGATAACGAGCAGACTCTCCTAAACGGCGAATAGGAACATTGAAAGACATCGTCTGTCATGACGACAACGGCGCGCACAACGGGCGCAGAAGCCCAGGCAGATGAGTTGCGGAGGAGAAATGTGGCCACACCACAATCGGCGTCAGTCGAACCAGTGGCCTCACAGAAGGAGAAGTCAAAGGAAAAGGTATTTTGCTCTCATCCTGCTTAGCAGTGCGCCCGTGGAGCAGTGGGCAGCCGCAATACGCAATCGCCAGGGCTAACCAGGACACAGCCTTTCAGCATCATCTCCTTCCTCGATGAGTATGAGTTCATACTGGCACCGATAATCTTCACCGCCCTCGCCTTCTTCACGCGAATGTGGAAGATTGGCCTGTCCCCCATTGTCACTTGGGACGAAGCCCAGTAAGTAGAACCCTTCCGCGCCCCGGTACATTGCAAATCTAACCAGGGCATAGTTTCGGCAAGTTCGGATCACACTACCTCAAGCGCGAATTCTACTTCGATGTCCACCCTCCGCTCGGAAAGATGCTTGTCGGTCTCTCGGGATATCTCGCGGGATACAATGGTTCATTCGAGTTCAAGTCTGGGGAGAAATACCCCGAAGAGCTCAACTACACCTTCATGCGCCTCTTCAACTCTGTTTTCGGTGCCGTCTGCGTCCCCCTGGCCTACTTTACTGCAAAGGAACTGAACTTTCGCCGACCGACCGTCTGGCTGGTTACCCTGGCCGTCCTCTGTGAGAACTCGTACACCACCATCAGTCGCTTCATTCTCCTCGACTCCATGCTTCTCTGTTTCACCTTCACGACTGTCTTCTGCTGGTCCAAGTTTCATCGTCTGCAAAAGGATCCCTTCTCGCCTGAGTGGGGTCTGTGGCTGATGCTGACGGGTGTCTCAATTGGGTGTGTGTGCAGTGTCAAGTGGGTTGGATTCTTCGTTACCGCTTTGGTCGGTCTTTACACTATTGAAGATCTCTGGAACAAGTTTGGCGACCTCAAGATGCCAAAGGTAAGAAGGTGACATCACTTGGATGGGCTTCCCCGCTAATTGTAGTAGATTGAATTATTCACGCATCTAGCGTTTCGCGTTTTCGGCCTGATTCTCATCCCATTCGTCGTATACCTCTTCTCCTTCTACCTCCACTTCTTGATCCTCGAGAACAGCGGTCCCGGAGATGCCCAGATGAGCTCCCTCTTCCAGGCCAACTTGCGCGGAACTGAGGTTGGAAAGAACAGTCCTTTGGAGGTTGCCTATGGCTCGCGAGCTACGTTGAAGAACATGGGTTATGGAGGTGGTCTCTTGCATTCCCACGTGCAGACATACCCAGAAGGATCTACACAACAGCAGGTTACTTGCTACCACCACAAGGACGCCAACAATGACTGGTTTTTTTACCCCAACCGCCACGAAGTCGAATACCACCCTGACGAGGAGCTTCGCTTCCCTGGAAACAAAGACGTTATTCGCCTGATTCACGCTCAAACAGGTCGCAACCTCCACTCGCACCAGGTCGCCGCTCCGGTCACCAAGGCTGATTGGGAAGTCTCCTGCTACGGTAACGTCACCGTCGGTGACACCAAGGACCACTGGATTGTAGAGGTCGTCCGTGACGCCGCTTCGAGGGATTACTCCAGGCTTCGGACTCTTACTACTGCTTTCCGTCTCAAGCACAAGGATCTTGGATGCTATCTCCGCGCCGGCAATGTCAACCTGCCTCAGTGGGGTTTCAAGCAGATTGAGACGACCTGTGTCAAGACCAACAACCCTCGTGACGTCTACACTCACTGGAACATTGAGAGTCATACCAACGAGAGGCGTAAGTCAATAAAAGACACCATGACGAGGACCTATGCTAACGCACACAGTCCCACCTGGCAACCCAGGCGACTACAAGTCTCCATTCTTCCAGGACTTCATCCACTTGAATGTGGCCATGATGACCTCGAATAATGCCCTTGTTCCTGACCCTGATAAGCAGGATGACCTCGCCTCTGCCTTTTGGCAATGGCCCATCCTCCACACTGGTCTCCGCATGTGCGGCTGGAACGATGATAGTATGTATCCCAAACATTCGCTAGAGAGAACAGCATTAACATGACGACAGTCGTCAAGTACTACCTCCTGGGGAACCCCGCCGTCTACTGGGGCAGCACCGCCAGTCTGGTCGTTCTCCTCCTCATCGTCGCCTTCTACACGATTCGCTGGCAGCGCGGCTACACGGATCTCAAGCAGGATGAAATCGACCAGATCCATTATGCCGGTATCTACCCGCTCATCGGCTGGGTCTTGCACTACCTTCCCTTCATGGCCATGGGCCGTGTCACGTATGTGCACCATTACTACCCTGCCCTGTGGTTCGCCATCCTCGTCATGGGCTTCTGTCTGGACTTTTCCACCCGCAAGCTCAGCAAGGCGGCGCAGTGGGGCGTCTACGGCGCCCTCTATGTGCTCATCATCGGCTTGTACTGGCTCTTTAGGGCGATTAGCTTTGGCATGGTTGGCCCGAGTAGCCAGTGGCGTCACTTGAAGTGGTTTTCGAGCTGGAAGATGACGGATTGAGCGAGGCAGGATGGGGAAAAAGGGAAATACTGGGATGGAGTTTGGACTCGATTGGTGTTTTTCCTTTTTTTCGGTCGTCTTCGTCGTCGTAGTCAGGGCATGGAAAGGGAAGGCAAGGAGATAAAAAGGACAAGGAGGAATAAAGTCAAGTCGTCTAGCCAGCCGCGGGGGATTTTCTTTTTTGGGTGTCGGAGGGAGGCTCAAATTAGGCTCACGGACTTCGGTTCTCGACTCTCCTTTTTTTGAATCTTTGTTCTGGGCTTTCTTTTTGATGTCTTGATCTCCCTGGTCTACATGTAACAATATCTCCTTTTTCCCTTTTTTCCCTCCTGAGTGGTTTGGGCGGGTACAACGTTGAAAAAGAAAATTTAGTTTAATTGTGAGATTCTCGGGCTTTTTTGGTGATGGTGCTGGTGATGGTGCGCTTGTGGAGGGTATGTAGAGGGGAGGGAAAGGGGCGTAGAGATACACTATCCTTTCTTTCTTTCCTCGCTCTTCCTTTTGTTTTTTCCTTTGCTCAAGTGCCTGTGCATCAGAGTAGTGGATATGCTTGGTTTACTTGGTTTACTTGGTTTACTTGGTTTACTTGGTTTACTTGGTTTACTTGGTTTACTTGGTTTACTTGGTTTACCTAGGGTAGACGGGAAGAATAGAAAAAAAAAAAAAATAGGGGAAGGTCTAGCAGGAGGAAATGTCTGGGTAGAGGGGGAAATTGAAATGGGAAATGAAGGGCAGTGCAATGGTCAAGGTGGTTTGGGAGGTTGGGTTAGATGTTGAGGAGGCTGGGATAGGGAGTTGATTGGTGTGCTTGTGCCATGTGGATATGTTGGGTGCGTTGGGTATGAATATGTAATGGTATTTGCAGTTTTTACATCTGTTGTTGTGGTTTTTACGTGGATTGATTGGGTGGCTGAGTGTCTGGGTTGGGTGGAGTTGGGTTGTGCTTTGTGGTGTGGTCTGATGGGGATGGGGGGATGGGAAGTGAGTTGTATATTTCCCCGTGTACATTTACTCCATACATCTCATCCATGCCCCCTCAACCCTCGCCTCAAACCACCTGCACTGACCCACCAATCTCCCACTTAATCACACTATCACTAACCCAGTCCCCCAATCCCATAGATCCCTCACTGTCCTTCACAGCCACATCGACGCCAATACCACCGCCCGTCCAATTTCTCCACACAAACAAGACGTCACCGCCAGCGCAGCATCGACAGCAACACCGTCATAGCGCCGTGTAATGCCAGGCCAACGCTGGAACGGAAGCCGTGTCGTTCAGCCTAGTGGAAAAGATTTACTCCTCGCCGTGCCAGGTGTGTGAAGAGCAGGCTTGTTTCGGAGGATATCATGCAGGTGTTACTGGGTCTGGCGGAGGATGCATATTTTGGTATCTGCGAGATGCGTTTTGGAGTTTGGTATAGGCGGTGGCCGAGCGTGGTGGTGGGTGTGCGTAGTGGACTCCGCTTACGATCAGGACGTGTATGCAAGGGCGTGTTCTATTGCTTTCCGCGGTACTTGACTTGGTGTCTTGGGGGAAAATTCACGCAAGTCTCAATAACATGATACGCTCGTGTCGCGAATGAATGCAGGACGGCGTTTCGCACACACGCATCGCGTGTAAATGCCCTGCCCACAGCTCTCAGCTGATTCTAACGTCAAAACCAATCAAACGTTCAACTCCTCTCACACAGCTCCAAGTTCAGTAGTATTGTCATCAGTCTTCCTCTTGCTCACAGGCGATCCCGTATAAACATGGCTCTCAGTCACCGATCTCATCATGCCCGGCCTTCGACCGATGCTGGGCAGATCAAAGGGACTTGCATGCTCATGCACATGGCTGGATCCTGGTACACCAAAGCGTATTTTGCTGCCCGGTGTGGCTACTGGATTCATGGGCGTGGCTGAGGGTACGGGTTCGGCGAGAGGGTCGGTCAGGAATATGGAGAGAAGCTTCTCTACGACGTCGCGTAAACGGTCTGGTTGGGCGTGTAGTGGCTTATGTACTATGTGTTTTCTCTAGGAGATTGTTAGATTTAGCGATAGTGCGGCATACACGCCTTCACTTCACTCACCAAGGCTAATGCTGCACCCTTGTATGTTTGGTGGTAGATTAGTTTGTACTCGTCGTCTCTTGCGGATTCTTCTGCGGCTGCCTCTTCAGACAACTGTTCATTTTGTTGAAGACCTGGCGCTAGAGACGCGCGGCGGGACCTTGCCTTCTTCTGCTGCAGGCCGTGCATGCGCATAGCTGCCATGACAACTTTAGACAGCGCTTCCTTGTTCCTTGACTCGGTGGTCGGCTCTTCGGGCTGGAGAGGGATCGTGGCGACTAGAGATAAATTGGAGCGTTTGGCATGGGCATCTGGTTGACCCTTGCGACTCGCAGGCCTATCGGAGGTCAAGCTCGAAGAACGAGATAGCTGGCGGGATGCGGGTCGAGACAGAGAGCCATTGGCAGATACGGAGCGATGATCCGAGATGGATGTGGCCTTCCAGTCCATTGATAGTGACCTACGGGATTGATATGATTGCTGCGACTCATGCCCTCTTGCAGCAATAGCAGCGATGCCCTGACCTCCCTTTCCTCTCACTTTCCTGTTGGCAATTGTAGCCTCCTCGAAAAGATCGCGCTTGCGTTTCGGTGATGTGGGTGGGCGCACTTGTGCGCGAAGGGGTGGGAGGAACTGAGGCTCAGTATGATTGGAAATATCGACATCTTGGGTGTGCAGGAGGTTGGACGACAAAGGGAGGGCATGAACTCGCAGCTCGGGCAGCTGGCCGACAAGTAGATGTGTGGAGGTGGACGATGTTGGCAGGTCCCCATGGTCGGGCGGTGCGATTGTCCCGTAAAAGAGTATCTCGGTGACTCGAGAAGTATTCCTGTCTTCTCCTGCATCTTGTACCTGCACCAAAATGCCTATTGGAGCTTGCGAGCGTGCAAGATTTAACCATTCATCAGCAGCAGCATCGTCAGAACTTTCGACTGCACTTGCAGGTTTGCTAAGAAGTATCGACTCGAACCATTCCTCAGTAGCCTCACTTGATGTCCAGACGTCTAAGCTGGGCCCAGCAGCCAGGTATAGAGGTATGCGGGCTGTGTCGACCGTGGAAAGAAAGCGCAAGCAAGCAATGCCCACGGGAATTACTGGTGTTGACGCGACATTTTGCGCAGAAAGTACGACGTCTGCAAAAATTAGCATATGTGAGTGTGGTGGAGCTGAGAACATTCACCAGCGATTGCTCTGCCATCAGGAAGCAATATATCCCCGCTCCATACATCAGTCATTGTAGACGGGGTGTAAACGTGGTGCAGTTTGGTTAGTATGACGTCGGATGTTCCAAGTCGAGGGTGACGCGCCGAGGTCCACGCTAACCGACGCGACTGCACGTGATTGCCACTCCCATATCAACTGTCAAATTGTATCTGGAAATCTTATGAACATCGTTCGCTCAGAGGTTCAATGTAATGAGAACCACCTCGAAAGTTCGTTGCCAGAAGTATCACGAGCCACATCAGCTTTTCAAACACTCATCACATCGACACACATGTGAATCAGACACTTTCCCAAGGAGCGTAAGTGACCGGTGAATCCGTTCATAGCTCAAAGATTCACATACAGGGCATCTATCGGGCTAGACACTCTCAAGACTGGAGCATACATTAAACCAACTAATAACTTACTCCAAAATCCACACATAAGAAAACCTCTCATTTCTCCCCCGCCTCAGCCAGAATCACTAAACCCCCTCGTTTTCCCTATTCTTTTTGGCAACAACCCCAAATTCTGTGTAAATGGGCGGCGTCCAGTACCACCCATCCCATCGCTCCTTTTTATTCATCTTCGCTTCGAAAATGGCAGCTACTTGCCCTACTTTTGAGGTTTTCTCTTTTGGTCGATTTTGTTGCTCATTGATGAACTCATCGAGAGGGTTTAGTGACTTCACTACAGGGCTCCCTGGTTGCCTTAAATGCGCTGTTAGCAGTGCGAATCGACGTAGAGCGTCTCCTGTCACCTCGTTTCGTGGTGGTGACATGTTTGATATGGTGTTGAGCTACCTTCAAGATTGTGAAACAAGGTTTGAGCTGAGGCGGGAAGAATATCACTGTGGCAAGGGTGATGAGGGAAAATTGAGGCATTATGGTAAATAATAAGAGTAGCTACGAGAATTATCAATGAGACATTGTAGATCAATAATGTCTTGGATGTGCGGCCACAATGCATGCGTTTCGGTCATCCAAGTCGTCTGCGCATCTGCATCCGACATTGTGAGTAGTAAACCTACGCGCGTGATCATGCGGCGAGGCAGTCTTCACCGTATGTATATCGGGTCATATAGGGCAACCGGTACTCCATGCTGAGTGCTGATTCACCGCCCATGGAACCAAACGTTAGTGTACCGCCCTTCACCTATGAATATATTATATTCTTGAATTTTCTCTGACGCAAAATCATTATATTGTGCTACGAAAACACCTCTGATTTCTTAACCCATACTTCCCTTTCTCTCGCGATAATGTCCGGCCTACTTGAATTCCCCCCAAGCACACTCCCGCCTGACGCACTATCACATCCATACGCTGTTTTCGCTATTCGAAAGGTAGATGTCGAATCAGCGCTCCCAAAAGATATTCCTCTCAACGCAGTCTTACACTTCATCCCCAAGCTCAGGGAATGTGTGCTCCCTGTTCCATTTATTGGTGGCCTACCTAAATCCCTCGCTACAGTAGCTCTACGCGCACCCTACGTCGGTATCAATATCGAATCAAGAGACATATCCGCACTTGGTCTTAAGTGGGTAATGAAGAGGTTGCTTCAAGCTGCCGGACGCGTCCATCCCAGGACACTCTTCCTCACCCAACCTTCCGTCGGCGTGGCAGTGACCATCTATCGCACGTGGATGGCGCTCGAACTGCCCGCCGCTGGCGTCAAAAACCTAGTCACACACATCCTTACGCGTCTCATGATGGGACCACCCGTGGCCATCTGGGAGATGAACCTTATTTGGGCATCGTTCCCTCACGACTCCGACATCATACGCGAAATGGGCATGAACTCACTCCGTTCACACCTCAACTTCAATCAGTCGCCTTCAGACACCGCAGCCCTAACCGACTGGTACAATGTCGACAGTGCACGCCGCAACTTCTCCCACTCGATTGGACGCTATTTCCCAGGCATTTGCTTGGATAGAGAGCAAGCAGTCAGGGAAAGGATCAATAACCTTTATCTCAAGACAAAGCAAAAAGAAATAGCTGAAGCCGCACGGCACGACAAAGGCAAAAGGCAAGAAGAGCAGAAGACGCGAGGTACAGCAGAGAAGGTGAAGAATTTGCTCAATCAGGACGGAACAAGGGAGGCCAGTCCGGACGAGAAACGTAAGAGGCGAAAAGAGTATTGCAAGGCTTTGGAGTCACGTTTGAGACGGGCACGATCCGATGACAGTATTCGCTCTGTCGAGACGGCGATTTGGGATCCTAAAGGGTCGACGGAGACAGCCCGCCCGTCAAAACAGAAGCCACTCAGCCTGTCTACTCAGTGTGCTTTGCTCGCTCAAGCTGAGAGAAATCACGAGGCAGCTGTGAGTCGCGGAAGACTGTGGAAGAGGACAGATTCAGCCTCAATCCTTACGGCAGAAAATCTTACCGAACTCAACAAGGTATCCCTTTCAGACACAAAGTCTGCAACTTCAAACTAACAAATTCAGATGAATCCATCAAAACCTCGAAATGTAAATGAAACAATAAAGAGACGTCCCATAGCACCACCTAGAAGCCTATTTTTGGCCAGTTCGTCTTCGTCATTCAGCACCGCAAAAGGAGAGCAAGATAGCGACTCCACACTATCAAGTGCTCGCGATCGAATCAGGCGACGGAAAGGCAAGACTTTATGTAAACAGTCTGGACGCGAGGGACTGGAAGACGCTAGGCGGGAGATTGAGGATAGTGAAAAGCTATTTCAGCAGGTGTCGGGGCGGGCACTACAGCCGGTACGGGATACCAATGTGCAAAATCCAAGGCGAGGAGTTAGACTGGTCCTTCCAACCACGGATAGTGGCGTCGAAGATGTTGTCGCTGGGAGGGCGAGTGCGGATGTTGAGGGAACAGCGAGCGATCTCGAAAACTCGCATATGGGATCTTGGAGTGGGTCGGCGTGATAATATGGTGGAGCGCTGTATAATAAGTTAATGGCGTGAGATCATTTTTGTGGCGCTACAGTCTCCTCAGATCATCGAACGTTTGAGCAAACGGATTGGACCGAGCGATTGAAAAACTTGTAAGGCAAGGAAAGATATCTTCCAGCCGTGATCGATAGAAACATGTTCAATACTTAAGGAACAGACAATCTTTTACCCCACTGTATGGACCTTTACTGTACTTTTTGCTCGCTTTACTGACCTTGTGAGTACCTATTGAACCGAGAAAAGCAATACTTTTACTAAGGCATCCGTCTAATAATCTCATACTTCTTTCTGTTGTTTGCCAAAGAGCCATCGCATCGCTTTGACGCGCTCCTTGATTGTTCGTGACTGCGTGACTTCATACAATGGTTTGTGCTCTTCGTAGATATCGTGCTCGTTCTCGTAATCGACGTGGACGTATGCTCGCTCAACATCTCCAAGGCCTTCGAGCTTTCGCTGGAGTGTCTGAGAGACGTCGTGGGTAATTTTAAGAGGCAGGTCTTGGTCCATGACTATGTCGACCTCAACATAGTACTTCTGTCCTGCGTGGTAGGCTCGGCACTACCGCAGTTAGGTTAGCGCGTGCTGTGTCCAAACCGGGGATCAAAACACATACCGTGTCAACCTTCTCGATGCGTGTGTCATGTGTGACAACCAAGTAGATAAGCTTTGAGATGAAGTCCTTGGGCGCGGATTTGCCAACAAGAAGCCAGACGTGATCGAAGGCATTGGCAGCCCATGAGAAGAGGATCAAGAGACCAATTAGGATGGCACCGATGGGATCGACATACCAAACGACTCGGTTACCAATAATAGACATGGCAAGACCGAAAGCGTTGACGATAATATCATTGCGATGGTCAATGAAGAAGACGTGGACTGCAGGGTATCGGCGGTAAATGAAGCAGAAGACGCACAGCGATCCCTTGCAGAAGACTATTCATGTTAGTCTAGACTATGATTGCTAAAGTCACATAGACTCACTAGCCAGTGACACAAACGCAATAGGAATGATATGGAGTTCTTCTGACTCCTTGGCTCCATTCCCAAGAGCTCTACCAGACTCAATCTGCAAGCATGTAAGCGGCAGTCAGAACCAAACAAGACCAGGCGCTTACGATGAGTTGTATGGCCACCGTCGTCATAAGACAGCAGAACATTATAATACCGATTGTTTCAATGCGTGTACGACCGACTGGGTACTTGTATACACTTGGACGGGCCGCCATGCGCGACGTGACCAGCATGACCACTGAAGAAACGAGATCCATGAAGGCATCTGCAGCTGTAGCGAAGAGAGATAGCGATCCCGTCGAGATAGCAGCGTACATCTGGATGATAAACAAGCAAAAGTTGACGAGAAAAGATGCATTTACAGCAAAGCGCACTTTTGGTCCATTCTGAAGATGGTCGAGAGCGGCTAGTCGTTCCTCGTCACCACTTTGGAGAAATTGATCGATCAAAGCGTTTTGTCTCGTGTAGAATTTCTGCCTCAGGTCAGATGCAAGAGTTAATCGTGGGGTAGATAGGCGAGCCGACCTTCATATGCTTGGGCTTGGCCAACGGATGGTCCGCCTTCATCTGTTTCTGGGTGACGTCCCTACGATGCCTACCAAGATCCAAGGGATCTTCGTTGACAATGACAGTGGCATCGTCCTTGGCTGAGTGGATGGATGCATTGCCTTCAGAGGTGAGTCGTTCAATAGCGTCAGACGTCTGCTCGGCAGCGGCTGTAGGATGACTTGACAATGTCTTGGGTAAGGGCTGATCAGCCTTGACTGGGCCCATAGTTTCTTGACCCGCTTGGCTCTGGGATTGGCCAACAGGTGAGGCTGGAGGGTGTCAGAGATGTCGAGACCATGCGTTTGGGTTCATGATACATACCATGTGATTCAGAAGTCATGTTGTCCGAATATAGTATGGATTGGTGTATGAGAAACTGGCAATCTCTAGGGCCTTTACAATGGAGTGGTGAAGGTTGCGTATCCACCTCAGCAGCGGGCAAACAACGTAATAAAGCAATTGCACAAACGCCACATTGCTACGGCCCTATCTCTCCCGAAGCCCAAAGGCATCATATAATGGCTAGATCTTCTGCAAGGCGGGTAAGATGATGGGATTCTACACACTTTCACACCTCACTGAGCCATTCTGGAGGGGTGAAGCGGAGGCTGAAACCTCGCTAAGCATTCGCTTGCGTGCACTACTGGCTCTCAATCGAGTCAGATTACTCGTTACGGTAAGGAAACGACATGCTTAGCCCTTTCTTGGTACTATAAACGGCTTGGTGATTCTGCATGTGCGGAGAAGCGGAGCGTACTCACAGTGATTGCGCATTTCTCTAAAAACACAATTCAACGTGGACATAAACGTAGACCAAAAAGCTTGAAGATCCCTCTGAAGCAGTCAAGCAATCGATCTGGTACGGGTCAGGATGCGAGATGGTGTCATGACGAGGGTTGATGTTAGGTGTTACGTCTTGGCGTTCGAGGAGGCTCCACCTGGCCAGGGTGAGATCTAGCATCGTACCGGTACCGTACCGTACAGTAGCTGTTCTTCCCCTTTCCCCTTCCCTTTAGGCGCCTGACGCCGGCAGAAGGCATTGCACGCGCTGATCCGTGCAGAAGCTTACATCTACAACAGACATCTTCTACAATACATCTTCCACGGTCCCGCTCTGGGTCTGTCCAGGTTTCAAAACCACCTGAATAGGTCACAGCCAAGCTATGCTCAACCGGCTCGAGCCCAGCCGTGCTTGGCTATGGTCGTCAACACATTCACACCGCGCCCCATTGGCTAAATCCCATCTCCAGCTCCAACTGGAACTGCAACAGAACTCTCTATCTACGCTTCATTGCAATGCCTCGCGGCTCCATCTAGCACAGGCTGTACCACTCGGCAGAAACGAGACTTGAGCCGCATCAAACCCCATCTCCTAGTGTCTCTCGACTCGATCATATGCCGAGCACCTAACGCGTGACAGTCGTCTCCGATGAACTTGGAAGGCTCGGCGATGGACAATCCCACATGTGGCCTTGTGGCCGCAAGACAATGCTTATTCGGGAACCTGAATGTCCTTGGACAAGCCTCTATTTCCTGGCACCGTCTGGACCTCCGCGTCCCTGAGTATGAAGCACCTATCTAGAAGGCGGAGTTTGGGTGCACAGACCATTGTATCCAGGCGCCACTACCGTTTCTCCCACTTATATGGTCTGGGGGGAAGATCATCGTTGGTGTCCACCCTGCCCCAAACATCTTAAAGCAATATATAGTCAGCTGGTGCCGAGCCGGGAGCTCACCAACTTCGACTTCGCACTCATTCACTTCGTTTTGCTCTCTGGAGAGTTGGTTTGGTGTTCTCTCCCCAAGTTCTCTTCGCCTTCTTTCTTTCTTCCATCGTCGCCGGCGACGAAACTGCTGGCAAGTTTTGGATAGAGCTTTTCAATACACACGTTCCCTAGACGTTTACCTTTCACGCTATTAATTGCAAACATGCCCGACGTAGTCGTTGAAAAGCCGGTGTGTGGCAGTGATCCTGATGGCGCTGACTATGACTTCCCGCTTCATGTGGGAGCGGTTTGTAAGTTACATCTGCGGCGGGTATGTTCATATACTGACTGGCTTGTGAAGTCATTGTGTTCTTCGCTTCCATCATGGGCTGTGGTTTTCCCGTTGTGGCCAAGAAGGTCAAGTGGATGAAGATCCCACCGAAGGTGTTCTTTGTTTGTAAGCATTTCGGTACTGGTGTATTGATTGCCACTGCATTCGCTCATGTAAGTATCCCTAAGAGGTATGCACAGTTCTTGCTAACATGCATAGCTCTTGCCAACTGCATTCGCATCTCTCAGCGACCCATGCCTACCAGACCTCTTCACGGAAAAATATCCTGCGTTACCTGGTGTGATTATGATGGGCTCTCTCTTCATCCTATTCGTTATCGAAATGTGGCTCAACTCAAAGACTGGCGGTCATAGCCATGGCGGTGCTACTGGTGCTGAGTTCTCAGGAGGTCCACGACCAGTCCAGCATGTACAGGGCGTAGAGGCTGCCTTCAACAACCCTATTCGTCGCACAGAAAGCTACGACTCACAGAAGACGATGCTTGCCATGCGCGACGACAAGCGCGGATGGGTCCAGGAGTCTACCTACCCGGCTGATAACTTTCCATCCCGCAAGGGTGGCAGCGATGAGCTTGACGCCCAGTCTGAAATGCCGCCTTGGTTCATCGTTTTCTACGAGCAATATGTACGCCAACGCGATGAGATGCTTAGCTTGGTCAACCGCGCGATGCCAGCCTTGCCCAACTACCAGACCCAACCACCCACGCAGGCGCAATCGTACTTTGACGATGATGTTGAGCAGGCAGTGGATCCCATGGTTCTCAAGAAGCAGTCTTTGCAGATCACTCTTATTGAGGGTGGTATTCTCTTCCATTCGGTCTTCGTTGGTATGACCATCTCGATCACTGCCGAGGGTTTCATTGTCCTTCTTATTGCCATTGTTTTCCACCAGGCTTTCGAAGGTCTCGGTCTTGGAACCCGTATTGCGGATGTTCCTTACCCTAGGAACAGCTGGAAGCCATGGCTGTTGGTAGTAGCTTTCGGCACAACCGCACCTATCGGCCAGGCCATCGGACTCCTCACACGTGGATCGTATGACCCAAACAGCGCTTTCGGTTTGATCATCGTAGGCGTTTTCAATGCCATTTCATCGGGTCTTCTTATCTACGCGGCCCTTGTAGATCTGCTAGCCGAGGACTTCCTGTCAGAGGAGGCTCAACATACTTTGACTGGACGCGACAAGACAGTAGCATTCATCTGGGTGCTCCTTGGTGCAGCAGGAATGTCTGTTGTTGGTATCTTCGCTTAAAGGGATGCCTGTAGACGCTATCGGACAAGCCATGGTATTTGTCATGGTCCACACCTAATGCGACGCAAAGTCTTCGCCCCTTCCAGAAAGTCTACGGTAGCAAGTCTCAGTGCGACGGTGTCTCGTCTATTCTGATGTTTTGAAGACTTTTCAGAGTATCTGCTACGTTCCGTCTCCCAGCTACAGAGGATCCACGCCCGAATGGGCATTATATCACCTCATGACATGTGTAAGAATTAGGAACAATGCACGGCGTTATACAAATTTGATTAGGGATTCAGAAATCGGGGCAACTATTCACTCTTTTTTTTGTTCTTTATTGCTATTCGATAATAACATGTAACCCGTTGCCTATCAACACTTCTTGTACTGTTCGTCCCAGGTTGGACCATGTTAAGTATATTAGAGAGTATATTATACGAAGTTATGAATTCTATACTCGTTCAGAGCATAGTGAATCTATACGCGGTGAAGTTGATGCGTGTGCACCTGATCTTGCTGACTCTGTTACCCCTGAACACAGCTCAATCCTCCCGGCCTACTGCTGCCACTTCGAGAAAGCTACAGGTGCGTCTCCCAAAGAGCACACGAAGATGAGGTTTGTCGACAAGATGAAATCCACAGAGAAGCGTCTCCAGTCTCTCCAGTCGTCAGGAAGCAGAGGTTCGCCTTGCGCAAGCAAAACAGTAGCGCAGCAGAGGTTCCTTAAAGAAAGCAAAAAGTCAAACAGAGCTTCGCTCTTAACCCGGTGTCGAAGCAATTGCTACTGAGTTTGCCATTGTCTACTCGGGACAAGTCCCTCCCTTTTATACACAGAATCCCCAATCCTTCGTCGACGCAACTGTCCACTCTAGCCACAAAGAACGCAGTTCCATCGCAGCACCCAGCTGAGCCTCACCTCTCCACCGCATCACCTTTCCATCCGGGACAAGCAAGCACCGAGAGACTGTTTACAGAGGGCATGACGCCCAGGAGCTATGCTATAGGCGCTTGGCCGCAACAAGCCGTTAGAGACAGGCGCTCTGGAGTGGGACCAGCGTTAGCGTTCACACTTTGCTTGGTTGCTCTGCTCTTGGCTCACGGCTTGGCGGCGGGTTGGGGTAGGAAGATCATGTGTTTCACCGGGTGCTGGCTTGAACCCGGAGGCGGCTTGAAACGCGTATCGTACCGGCCCGCTTGTGGCGTGCTTGGTGTTGCAGGTTGAGACCAGGGGTTCTTTCTTATTTTTGAAATACTTATGTAGTAGTAGTCGGATAGTAGTCATAAGAATATATAGTAGCCTCTGCGCAGAGATGGGATGTTCGGTGGGCTTTTTGGGAGTTCTTTTGTTGTGCTGCTTGGTGAGTTCGATGTCAACAAGGGCCCGCAACAAAGTCTGTGATTACCTATCATGTGCACTATCTGATCAGACTGATCAGTGGAAGTATCATAAGAGCTATGACGGAAAGGACATAAGTAAGTTATACAGGTCCTTTGTGACCGATCACGACTTATTGGACCAACTGCCTCTTCACGCGATGATTTGATGCTGATGACCGGCTTATCTCCCCCTTTTCCGGGCCATAGAACGCATAAATTTCCGAGTAGTCTCAGCAGACTATATCTATAGTGAGCAACCGCAGTATAACAGTGATTGTCAGTCAACCTCGTTCATCGTTCTCAGGCCTCAACCATCCTTCAAATAAAGCGTAAACGGCACGCGGCAAAGCCACATATTCCAATGCAGGTATAAGCATGGCACATGCATATCCTCTAGCAGTACAGAAAGGAATGAGAAGGAACTAGGTAGGCTGGACTGTCGGCAGACTGTCTACTGGTACCGTTCTCGCCCCGCAGTAGCCGACTCTCCTTGCTCCTGTAATCATGACGACTCCCCTATCATAGCGTAACGAACATGACGCTGCAGATGAACGAGAAGAATAGTTTTTCGAGGGTGTATGACAGTGAGCTACTGCAAAACATCTAGTGGCTTCATCTTCTACCCGCTTTGACGCTTACCAAACGAGCGTCGAAGTCCAACTTCCCTACCGTCGGCAAAGTTGGGCCGGAGAAGTTTGCCGCGGGTAGCCGGAGCTGTGTTCCCCTACCAAAACCACCCCACTGCAATCCCGTCATTGTCGCCCCTAACCGTAGACCGTTCACCTAATTTACCTCCTGCGCCATCCGGTGAATCACACTACAACGGTACGATATGTCCACAGCTGAAGACACCGTCAATGGCACAGATCTACAGGATGCCACTACTGGCTCGAAAAAGCGGACCCATCCGGAAGACTTCAAGCGTGCATACAAGGCTTGCATCAATTGCCGCCAACGCAAAGCCAAATGCATTCTTGGCACAGGGCCCGATGGCGGTGAATTGAAGCCGCCATGTCAAAGATGCAAGCGCGAGATGCGCGAATGTGTATTTAGGTCTGAAAGATCTTGGGTGAAGAGACGGAAGCCTGGCGAAGTGCGCGACAACGTAGAAGAGGAACCCGCCAGGCCACATTCAGGCTCAATCAGCAATGTCCAGCCTTCACCCGTTCACAGGTTGTCGACTTCGACACTTGAATTTGCCCCTGGCGATAGCCCACATACGAGCAAACATCGCGCTGATATCTTCTCTCCACACAATCATCTGCGCCGCATCTCCTCATCTCAAGGAGACCTAGCCAACTCGGTCATGAGGACAGTCGTATCCAGTGGTAGCGATGCGCTGAACCTGTTGTTTGAGGCTGCACATCACCGCGATGCCATGGATAATGAACAACAATCCGGTTCTCAGGCCTATGAGACTCCAAGGTCTGGACCAACTGGATTCGAGAATGCGACACCCTCATCGCCATTTCACACCTTCAGGGCGCAGCCTGTGCAAATGTCAACCCCATCGCCTGAGACGTTAAAAGTCTGGACCTCATGTCGCTTTGTTCAGATGGGCTGGTTTTCAGCGCATGAGGCAGTCACATATGTTGATTTGTTTTTCAAAAACTGTTCACCTTTGTCTCCGATCCTAGGAGAGTTCTACTCACATCACGAGAACCATTATGCATTGATAGCGCTGGACCCATTCCTGTGTACCACCATTCTGATGATATCCTCACGGTACAACATTCTTCCCGGGGTTGGTGGTGCATCTCGGGGTTACTTCGTTCACGACAGGCTCTGGGAGCAATGTCAGCGCTTCATCATGAAGATCATGCTTGGCCAGGTCAAGCCTTCCAAGGCTCAAAGCCGGACTATCGGATCCATCGAAGCATTGCTTTTGCTATCTGAGTGGCACCCGCGTGCGCTTCACTTTCCAACTGCTGCGGATGGCTGGGATTGCGAATTGATGATAGGAGCGAACAACACTACAGAGGAGGGCGCAAGGCTACTAGAAGGAGACGCCACCTCTAGTCGATGGCTGGAAGATGTTATTGAGCCCGCTAAACGCTCTGATCGTATGTCTTGGATGTTGATGGGCTGTGCACTCTCTTTAGCACAGGAGCTCGGTCTTTTCGAAGACAACGCTAGCATCGACAAAGATCAAGTTTCGTATCCAAAAGCTACCACAGAGTTCTTGATCCTGCGTCGGATACGTGCTCGGAAGCTCCTATACGTACTCCTCGAGCAACTGTCGTGGCGATTGGGATGTACCTCCATGATTCCGCAGAGCCTTAACCATGCCCTGATGGAGAAGATACCGGTAGATTCCGCAACGGGTGCGGTAGAGCAGTGGCAATCGTTCATGAGTGCATGGGTCGAGCTCACGAAACTTGCTCGATCCGTATCAGATACCATCTATCCTAACACGGCGACGACGCGGAGCTTACTGAGGACTGGCCGCTACATTGGACTTTTAGAACACTTCCAGCCATTGCTCACATCGTGGAGAAAAAAGTATTTGGACCCCTGCAGTAAGTTGAAGGCGCGAAATGCACAGTCTATGCATGGTACATGGCCTCGAATGCTGACATTCCCACAGAGCTCAAAGTTGGCCTACATGACATGCTCCACATAGAATATCAATATGTGCGCATCTACACAAACTCACTCGGTATGCAAGCTGTCGTTGAGCGAACTCTTGCCGAAACCGATCCCGATGTGCCACAAGAGGATAATCTACCCTTCAATCTAGAGCCTAGAGATTACGACTTCATTCAAGAAGTAGTCGACGGGAGCTGCCAAATCCTTCAGAAAGTGTGTCAGCTATCTGAGACTGGGGCGCTCCGTTATTCACCTGTGCGGATTTTCTTGCGCATAACAACGTCTTCTATCTACTTGATAAAGGGGCTGAGTTTAGGATCTCGCAACCAAAAACTGCAGTCGTCGCTCGACATTCTTGACGCCGCTATCAGGGCTTTACGTGCTAGTAATTCAATCCCAAGTGACAAGCAATGAGACTTAACTGATGGATAACAGGTACACTCGATGATATGCATCTTGCATCACGCTACGCTACCCTTCTGGATCTACATGTTGCCCGTCTCCGCGAGAGTTTTGTCGTCTCATCACGGCCTCCACGACTCCCATCACGTGCGACATCTGCAGATCTTAAGAGCGCAACAATTGGCATGGACTTCCTCAACAACCACAATGCTGGACAATCAAGTTTATCCTCACTAGCCGATAATGTTGCGGACCTCATGCCCGATGACGACTGGCTTGCGCTCCCGTTTGACCCTGCAATGGCCCCATTTGGGCTTGATCATAATCAGCAGAGCTTCCAGGGCTTTGACGATGGAACATTGGATTTCATCTGGAATTTACCCATGTAATGAAAAGCAAGTGATTACGAAACCTTTCAATATTATTCTCCGGGCCGAACTACTACCACACAACCGCAGAAACAGTTGATGGTATCAATATTACTAGTCTTACTTAAACTACTATACTCTTCTACCTTCTAGACTCGCTTCCAAACATCAACAACCCTCCATCTCCCTCTCTTCCCGCAAAGCATTTCTCACAATGGCCCCACACATCTTCGCATATGGATTCGTCCTAACGCTCATCTCCCTCGCCACTTCATCGCCATACCTCGCCGCAGCCGCAAAGTCCTTCGACGCCAACTCCTCCAAATCCGTCTTACTTTGCCCACCCAGCCCCGTCTCCGTCTCCGCAGCCTTCAGGTACAAAAAAGCACGATGCGAATACGCGGTCCGCAGTATGCGGGCTTGGTAGGGGGACACGGGCCCTTGGGGCGAAGTGCTCGGCAAGGCATGTTGTATTGCGCACCCGAGGTCTGTGAATAGCGCTTCGATGTCTTCGGAGCGTGCGACGGAGAAGATGTGCTGCTGTTGTTCTGTAGAGGAGGATGTCATGTCGGCTTCGATGCGTAGTCGGCGCAGCATGGCGCGGTTTACGTAGGCGCTAGGGTAGGTGGGCCAGGTTGCGATTGTGCTGTCTAACTCTTCGAGTGCAGTTTCTAGGGTGGCAGGGCTGGATGTGCTGGATACTTGGCGGATTATTTCGGTTTGTTGGGTTTCGAGGGTGGATAGTTGGTGGGAAGAGATGGTGGGGAGGGAGGGAAGGGAGGAGTCGATTTGTGCAGCGTCTTTTGAGCGGGCGACGGAGGAGGGGAGTGTTTCTGGATCAAAGAGGGCGTCTAGGATGCGTTTGTCGTTTGCGCTGAGGGTTGTGGTGGTGGTGGAGACGTCGACGGCCATGGTTGGGATGTGGTGGGTGTGTTGAGGATATGTCGAAGTTTCAAAAGTTGAATACTTTCAAGGGATTAGTTTGAGGAGATTAATGAGCATGAAACTATTCCGAAGGAGCGAGCAGCTTTTGGGGTTTCTTTTGTCCTCACTATCAAACATGGCGGACGTAGTTGCTTCGGCTCAAGGAGGCTATAAGCGCGGCTCTTGACGGCAGAACCACTCGCAGCAACATCATCAGCAATGCCACCACTCTACCCATTACACCTTGTCCAACCAAACCCAATAGCCTCACCAACTATTGCAAGAACCACTATAAGTGCAGAAAATCTAGTCGAAGCATCCTCCCGCGTCTTCCGACCATCCAATTCTTTGCATGCACTTCTACAACCTGCCGTGTTGCTCGAGAAAGCGGCTAAAGGCGGATCGCTGATTGGCGGACACCAACGGCACGCTTTGGGAGTGTATCAGGAAGGTCACTGCACGTGAGCTCGGCATAACAAAGTTGATGACGGTCAGTGGGACAGAGTTGGTAATTACTAGCAAGAGATGGCGGTATTTGCAGGAGCGAGTATTGAGAGGTGGTTGGGTGCGTAGTTGATAAAGGGTGGACGTTGTTCACTCTGCTGGACGTCTTTCATGATCAGTACAAACTCAACTACACTTCAGCGTTACTCTACCATTACGCCCATTCTTCGATATACAGGTTATCTTGACTGTTCATACTATCCTTGAAGACCGTCTGGCTCAGCAGTTTGTCACACAATATTCACAATGGCACCATCAGCCATCTCGCCCCCTTCCTCCCCCCAACTTTCCTCCACCGTCCCTTCCTCAGACATCTCTGCATACCGCGGCTACCACCATGTCCACTGGTATGTTGGCAACGCCAAACAAGCCGCCTCATACTATGTAACCCGCATGGGCTTCTCGCGCGTCGCCTACCGCGGCCTAGAAACCGGATCGCGCGCAACGGCCTCACACGTCGTGCGCAACGGCAACGTCACCTTTGTCTTCACATCGCCACTCCGGTGTCGAGCAAAGCAACCGCTTCAGCCCCGAAGACGAGGCCCTGCTCCGCGAAATCCACGCCCACCAAGAACGCCACGGCGATGCGGTCAAAGACGTAGCCTTTGAAGTCGAAAACGTAGACGCCATGTACACGGCCGCCGTGCACAACGGCGCCGTCGTCGTGAAAGAACCACACACCGTCTCCGACACCCACGGCTCCGTTCGCATGGCCACCATCCGTACCTACGGCGACACAACGCACACCCTCATCCAAAAACCCATTTCCTACACCGGCGTCTTCCTCCCGACCTTTGCCCCCGTCCCCACCACCACCATCGACCCCCTATCCAAACACCTCCCACCCATCCCCCTCTCCGCAATCGACCACTGCGTCGGCAACCAAGACTGGGACGAAATGGAAAGCGCATGCGCCTACTACGAACAAGTCCTCGGCTTCCACCGCTTCTGGAGCGTCGACGACAAGGCCATATGCACCGAATACTCTGCCCTAAAATCCATCGTCATGAGCTCGCCCGGCGACATCGTCAAGATGCCCATCAATGAACCGGCAAAGGGCAAGAAACAATCGCAAATCGAGGAATACGTGGATTTCTACGGCGGCCCGGGCGTCCAGCACATTGCCCTGCGCACGCCGGACATTGTGGCTGCGATTACCAATCTCAAGGCCCGTGGCGTCGAGTTCATAAAGGTGCCGGATACATATTATGAGGAGATGAGGGCGCGGCTGAAGAAGGCGGGTATGAAGCTGAATGAGGATTTTGAGACGTTGCGGGCGCTGGATATTTTGATTGATTTTGACGAGGGCGGGTATTTGTTGCAGCTTTTTACAAAGCATTTGATGGATCGGCCGACGGTGTTTGTGGAGATTATTCAGAGGAATAATTTTGAGGGCTTTGGGGCTGGGAACTTTAAGAGCCTGTTTGAGGCGATTGAGAGGGAGCAGGATGCTAGGGGGAATCTGGTTTGATGGGGGTGGGTGAGTCGTCAGGGTCATGTGAGAGAGAGAGAGAGAGAGAGAGATGGAAAATAGGCATAGCCAAAGGAGTTGTCTTGTACTTTCTGATATATGGCGCTGTGTTAATGAAGAGAATATCATCTCGTTTCCTTGATCAAACATCTCAAAGTTTCTATCCAATCCATGATGAGAGCACGTCTTGTTCCATTCCATTTCGACCTCCTAGTCAATCTAGCCACCCCAATTAATCCCAGCACTATGCAGAGATGGCACTTTATCATCAACAATATAGTTGAAGCACAGTTCGTTGCGCCCATGATGGTGATAACGACACTTAAGTCGACCCTGACGTTCATTGCAAAGCACATCGTACAACCGTGTAAAGTCGATGATGATATCTTGCGGCTCCGTTCCCCTCGATACATCTCGCGGATTGATCAATAGATCTATCTGAGTAGCAGTCGCAGCGTGGATGGCATCGCGCTGAAAGGCCGGAATGTAAGCGGTTATACGAGGTAAAGGGTCGACATCAAAGCAAGCAGCCCAGTTGTAAGAGTCGACGACGAATCTCTTGAGGCCAAGCGGCTTGTCATCAGGACAAAAGGAGTAGACCCAGAGGACAAATTCGGGTGTTGGTGGACCATCTGGATGGAAGAATTTGGCAATGACGTTCATGATGGCATCCTGGAAGTGTGGTGCTTGCATCTCCTGGCCCATGACATAAGCATGCACCAGCCTTCTAGCGTCTGACGCGTGTTCCAGTTGACTATCGTTGGATGCGTCGGTGAGTAAGCTCATGGCGATGTTGGTCATGGAGTTAGTGTAATGGAAGTCGTTTTCGCGCATGGCGGAGTAGTAACCTCTGTAGGTGAAACCGAGGTTGATAAATGGACACAGAGGTAGATGGTTGAGGAAGAGAGCGAAGAAGGCGAAGACTGCCGGATGATACTTGTCCAGGAAGATGATGGGCGGCCCACTCGTGACGGAGCTGAGCATGTTCTGGAGCGACAAGTTAGCTGCTGGCTTTGTTCACAATGCGCAGTGCATACATTTCCCCAGGTTTCCTTGCGAAGCTCTGTCATTGGTACTCTGAAGCACTGGAAGGCCGGCTTCAACACGAGGCAGACATTGGCGTATAATTTCTCGCCTTCTCTATTTACCCCTAGCGCTTCCAGTGCCTTTCGCTCCTCCCGTCGAATCCTATCTGCGCGGCTGGGCATGCTGGTGACGCACGATTCATCTAGCATCCGCTTTGGGGTAACCAGGCTTTCTTAGACAGTCTTCAAAGAAGGGGAAAAAGCGAAGTGAAGCTGGTTTACAGGAAGATTATACGCGGCTTCGTGAAGTGTTATGTACATGTACAGAGGCGATCCGTGCACGGAAGTGACAGTGAAGGTAAGTTTAGCAAACGCAACATCGAGAAGATTAATGGGACAAACGAATAGAATCACATGATTTGACCTTCGGTAGCATGAGGTTTGGGGCTACACCGCCTTTCGTCAGAAAATGAACCTCTTTCATCGATATAGTCGGACTTGATGCGAATGCAATGCGTGTAGATGGTACTGCGAGGACAGACCCAGCGGCATGTCTTCCCACTCCTCCCGGAAGAACTTGTCGTCTCGATCCTGATCTGGATGCAATCGATCAAATACCGTAATCTCCCGGATGAGATCCCAGTACTGCGCCTTCTTCCAACGAAGTAGCATGGGATATACGAGTTTTCCGGTGACGTTTTTATTTCTACACGTGGTTGCAAAGTCTGTCACTTGACCATCGAACCAGCTTAGTGAGGGGTCCGCAGGCTGCCAGACAGAGATTGTTTGCAAGTGTGGAGTCTGTTCAAGAAGAGTAAGCGTCGCTTGGAACATGCACGATACGTCCATTCTTGCGTTCATCAAGTAGGAAGCCTCTTCTTTGGATTCGTGAAAGGGTAGCGCACTAGGGAGAATGGAGGTATCGAATGGGAAGGAGAATTGGGCATGTGATAGGTCCGTTCGTAGTGATAGATGCGCCAGAGTAGGCGGAAGAAGCGGCCAGATTTCCGTGGTAATGGAAAAATCCGCATCGCCAGTTAAGAAGGGAAACGGTACTTGCAGAGTACGGAGTTGGGTGAAGTAGGTCAAGTCGAGATACCCGAGAAATTTGTCTCCAATCCTGGGTTGCTTGAAGGCCCAGAGCGCTGTGTCGCAGTACTCTATACTGAGGACCAAGGTCTCGAGGGTCAGCATAACAAGCCGTAGCGTATCGCCCCATGTGCTGAGATCTACCAAATACGGCCCATTGTTTGCTTCCGCACTGCTTGAAAATGCCATGTCATACGTCAACGACTTCAAGTGGGGAGTAGACTCTAGTAGAGACCGCAGAATCGAGATCTGTGGGCCCGAATGCTTGATGACTAGAGTGGTGATATTCGTAGCCTTGGGCTTCTGGACCAGCTGAGCAGACGGGTTAGCAAAGAGAAAAGTGCCGCCTCTCTGGCCTTCTGGCACTGATATCTCCAGTTTTTCTACGGCTGGTAGGTTCATGAGGTGGTCTAGGGTTGGTCGACAGGGATCCCTGCGATATGCCATGCCCCCAATGCTGTCTATATTGATGGACACGGATTTGATAGACGAAAGGCGCCCTATCAGCATCTGCGATGGCCGACGGCGGTTCCATGTAGTGACACTGTCCAAGTTACGAAGAACGGTATGCAGGTGATCCAAAGTTGCGCCCTTGTAGTCGGCCACTGCCAAATGTCGTAAAGAGGGCAAGACAAGCAAGATGAGGGCTGCGTAGGCGGAGTATTCGCGCGTGCCGATGGCATCACGAAGGTAGTCGGTTGCGGCAATCAAACTCTCGTTACTCATGGCGTCCATGGCTTTGCTGAACATGAGGCTGTCATCGAAGTGGGAGTCCCGTCGCAGAACATACTGTCCGGAATGAACAGCCTTGTCAGGATGTAGACCCAGACGTAAGGATATGACTCGATCGGCCAGACGGCTATTGTTGAGTATATTAAAGCAAAAACGATCGATTCTTGGAGCCAAGTCGCCAGGCGGGATGTACAAATCGACATGGCGATAGAGGAACGGGGTAGCTAAAGTGGACAAGGCTTTGTTTAAGCGAGTGACGGTGTAGATGTCGTGTTGTGGAAGATAGGAAACGATGTATTCGACGAGCTCGGAGGGAAGATGGCAAAAATTGGCCCCCGCCATGTTGGTGTGAGTGAGGAGACTTGAGATGAATGCACAGGTGACGCGGTTTTCATGGATGGTCAGCCAACAAGCCTGGTGCGACTATGCTGACGCCTGGAGAGGGCTGGAGGGGTGATGTGTGATCTTGGCACAAATGATTAGCGGTAGATTGTCGAATAGAGTGTCATGTAGATGCAAAGCAGTGGTAAAGACGTTGCTACAAGAAGCAGCCGAGTAGCTGCATAAACCTGAAACCGAGAAGGAACGTGAGCGTGTAGTCCTGTTGTTTTTTATTGTTGTTTTCAGTTTTGTGAGTAAATGTCTGGATGAGCAGGAAGACATGAAGTCATGGCAACCAGCAGCGGGCGTGTGACATGTGATGCGGAAATGCCCCGGGCAACGGGAGTGGATGTTCAGCTATGCCAGACATGGGCAATGGCACATGTCAACAGTCATATAGGAGTACTCGAACGTGCGGTGCCATAGCTAGTCTATTTGTTCGACTTTGATGGGAGAGCCAAAGGGTAGATAGGCACAAAGTACGGTACGTAGTTGACGGGACGGGACGGCTTGACGCTCGAGCTAGGTCCACCGCTTGATCAAGGTGGACATCTCCAAGCTTTCCTTGCTGTGCGATATGTGATACCGCCTAGTCTTTGCTACTTCCTGGCTGGTGCGTGCAGACGGGCGCCGCAGAGAGGCCCATCAGGAGCCGTTGGAGGGATTTCTATGCAGCCAAAAAGCGGCTGGCCATTCCTCAGTCAGAGAGTGGAAGGGGGCGCGGGGGGGCGCGACGATGCGAGCTGCGATGATGCAAGAGTGCCGAAGACATGAGGTAACTGCACATCACTACCGGTACTGTATGAAGCCAGGCGAGATGCCGTCGTCAGTCTCTGGTACGGGGCTCTAGTGTAGTACAAGTAGTTGGGTCTGGCTGCAGTGCAGCAGCGCAGGTGAAACGGGCATGTGTGTGTATCATAGGTATTGCCAGATTCCCATGGACCTGGAGGACTGGACTATTGTTGCTGTTGTCGTTGGCGTTGGCGTTGTTGCTTGCTTGCTTGCTTGCTTGCTTGCTTGCTTTGGAAAAGACTTCTTGGGTGAAGACCCGAAAAGGGCCGCGGTCCAATGACACACGCCTGATTCCGACTTATTCCTGGCCGGCACCTTTCACCCACGGGAACGGGTTGGCGGCACCAGAAAGCAGCCGAACCCCAGTCATCCGTTCATTAGTAGTCAACTCCCTTCTTCCCCACGACCGAAGAGAAGACACAAAGATCAAAAAGACGATTCACTGTCGCATCGCATCGCCTTGGCTACTCCCGCTCTACACACCATCGTTGCCCCAATTTTCCTCATCACGACACGACACAACACAACACAACCAACTCTTGACGGTACGGTACCGGTGCAAGCTCCCAGAGATCGCACAACTACGTCACACGGCACACCGGCACACGGCACACAAACGTGCTCACCACCACGCACACCACCACGCACACCACCAAAGACACGAATCGGCCTCCCATCTGCCTTGAAAGAGCAGGTTGACCGCTGGGCTGTGGATCGGACGGCGGTTGACGTCTCGCATTGCAGATACCGTCCCCAGTCGGCGGTCCTCGGCTATCAGCGCCTGTTGGATGCGCCAGAGCCTGCCAACAAAGTCTTCTCCACACCGCACATCCTCCAACACTGTCCAAAAACAACACAAAATATTCCCATCATGACGACAAATAGGCCCTTCTTTGGAGGCTTCTTGGCCGCCTTCCGCGCACAACCTGTCCTGCAAAAGGCTGCTACCTCGCAAACAGCAGTCTCTGCATCGTCCTATGCACACAGCACAAGCAGCAGCACATCATCATCACAAAGCCAAGGGCACGACACACAGACCTCGACAGCACGCACAATCACCACCAAAGCACAGTCGCCATCCCCAGGCCCGACCACTGTTTCCGTCCAGGCGACTGGCCACTTTCAACCCACCAGACAACACGCGCCTCCTTACAACCGCTCCACCTCGCCAAAAGCACAAGCCTACCCCATACCTGGCGCCTCGCAACGCAGCAGGCGGGGCTCAGATAGCTCATCCGAAGGCTTCCACGAGGTCATGGGCGCAGAGAAGTGGTACATTGGCGGACGAACAGCCACAGGCGAGGACAAGTACTACAAACTGGGCATGGTCAAGAGGCATAGGAGTGCGGATCGCCTGAGTCTGGACAAGCTCAGTATATAAGGCTTCCCACCCAGCCCATTATCTTTTCATCGCGCTTTGTTTTCTTCTCCATCTCATCTCATCTCACAGCGGCATAGTTGGCGTCTCATGGGTAGTCTATTGGTTACGTCCGCTTGGATGATTTTACACACACACAGAGAGAGAGAGAGAGAGCTCGGGCACAGGCGTTTAGAATTACTACAGACTCCCAAGAGTAGGATGTTTCGTTCTCACATATTTCACAACGGGTTACTACACATATACATATACAAATACCTACATTGAATATACCCACCACCATAACAAGCAAACCATTCCCCCTTCCATCCCCATACAACCCCCAAACCTCACCTACCCACTACCCACTCTGCCCCCCAAATAAAAGTGCATCCTCCCATATCCCAAAAACACATTTGAATCCCCCGCCAAGCCAGCCCCATGCAGCCTCCCTCCCATACCCCAGAAATTCCTCACCGCACCCTTCCACACAGCACACAACACATTTCCCCCAACCCAAACACACGCACCCGTGCACTGCATACAAAATCCCCAGACCACGCTTACCCGCACCCACACTGCATTACACTATTTACATGCAAAACCACCCGCCCCCGTTCCAATCGGCTCGCCACCCGCCCCGCGCCCCGCCGCCGTCCATCCCATGTAGTTAGCTACCCGGTACCCGCAGAATTTTTTTTTTGATTTTCTGCTTCTATGTTGGTTTCCGACACCCCTGTCATTCTGACGTTTAACGCCTTCCCCACTTTTTTCGTGGTTTTGGTCTTCGGATAAAGGGCTGGTAGAGAGGGTGCCAGGGCTGTACCTGGGCCAGTTCGCTGCTAGCGTGGATGCGCGGAGACGCTAGGCGGGGCGGAAAAGTAGGGGATTGGGCGGGTGGGGGGAGGGGGCTTTTTTTTTTGGCTAATGCGAGGGTCCGGATAAAGGGCGAGGGGGAGGTGGAGGTGTAACGTAAGGTAACATGCATGCTTGCTCGTGTGTGCCTGTGTGTTCGAGTCACTGGGATTGACTTTTCTTTCGGTAGGGATTCGGGGCGAGGGATGGGATGGGTTGGGTTGGTGGGTGGATATATAGAGTGGGTCGGGTCTGGTGTGGCAGTTGGACAAGACAAGGCTGGAGAAATACTTGATCTTTTTTTTTATTTTTGGATGGTTCTTTGGTGAAAAGCTGGCTAGGCTTCTAGTTCGATGAAGGTCTTGAATTGAATCAGGATAGATCAGAACGGGACAGGATAGCAGTGTATTCGTTTCTCTATGAGTACACGCAATGGCACTCTCTACCACATCCGCATCAGCACCCGCTGGCCCACTACCCTCCACCAACCCTCCCAACATCCACAAACACATGAACAACACTCACTCCGACATCCACTCGACAACTACCAACACCACTATCCCTCCCGAACCAGAACCTAAACGTCCAGAACCACAATATGCCTCCATCATCCGCCCCTCCCAAGATACCCCCCTCAACCTCCACCGCACCACCTCCTCCCTCTCCCACCCGGACATGCCCTGCGTAACCTACACCCCCACCACCGACACAACCCCAACAACAACCACCACTGCTGCCGACGCCATCTACACAAAATTCTCCCCGCGCCGCAAATACATCATCGTGGCTATTGTCTCCTTTTGCAGCTTCCTGGCGCCCGTCAGTTCGACGACGGTGCTGTCTGCAGTGCCCGAGGTGGCGGCCACGTATGGGACGGACGGCAGTGTGATTAATGTTAGCAATGCTTTGTACATGTTGTTCATGGGGATTAGTCCGTGTTTTTATGGGCCGTATGCGGGAATTTATGGGAGGAAGTGGGTAAGTTTTTGTTTTTGGTTCTTGCGCTTCCTCGTCTTCTTCTTCCGGTGAGGTTTTTGGGGGTGGGAAGAGATGTAGACTTCTCCTCCTCCTTCTTCTCCTCCTCCTTCTTCTCCTCCTCCTTCTTCTCCTCCTCCTTCTTCTCCTCCTTCTTTCCAGCAAGACGTTTGCTAATGTCCGTCAAATAGGTATCTGTCGCCAGTGCCACACTCTTCACAGCGTTTTCAATTGGCACGGCATTGGCGCCCAATTTAGCCGCCTTCTTCGTCTTTAGAATCTTGACTGCCTTTCAAGGAACCGCCTTTCTAGTCGTTGGGAGTGCGGTGATTGGGGACATTTACAAGCCTGCAAGTATTCTCTGCTTGTAAAGCGTTACTACTCGCAAAGACACATCCTAACACGCAATTCTAGACTGAACGAGCTACGGCGCTCAGTCTCTTCCTCACTGGCATGTTCGTTGGGCCTGCGTTGGGCCCCTTCATCGGCGGAATCGTCGTCACGTATCGCACCTGGCGTGAGATTTTCTGGCTGCAGTCTGCTTTGGCTGGTGCAGCGACCTTGTTTTGTTTGTTCCTTCAGCCCGAGACTATCCATGAGAAACGCGCGGCTGAACTCGAGGGTCTGCCGGCTCGAGAAAAGGCGGCGAAGATGTGGGAGTGGTTGAATCCTACTCGTATCTTGCGTTTGATTCGATATCCAAATCTTCTTTTGACTGTACGTCGACCAACTCCACTCGAAAAGTCATTTCGTTTCTGAAAGCTGGGTTCAATGCTGATCGTCTGTAATAGTCCCTGGCATCCTCCTCCTTGGTATGGAACATGTATGCCCTCCTCACCCCCATCCGCTACGTCCTCAACCCACGCTTCGACCTTGAAACACCCCTCCAATCCGGCCTATTCTATATCGCACCCGGGTGCGGCTACCTCATCGGGACCCTTGTAGGCGGCCGCTACGCTGATCACATTGTCAAAAAGTACATTCGCATCCGGGGCAAACGCGTGCCCGAAGACCGGCTTCGAAGCTGCGTCGTCTTTCTCGGCGGCATCATTCCAGCATGCATGATTGTGTATGGCTGGAGTGTCGAGAAGAAAGTAGGAGGCATCGCATTACCGGTGATAATGATGTTTCTCCAGGGAGTGGCGCAGTTGTTCTGCTTTCCGAGCTTGAATACGTATTGTTTGGATGTTATGCAAGGGAGGAGTGCGGAGGTGATTTGTACGTATACTTTTATGCCTTTTTTGAATACTTGTGTTTGCGAGTACTAATATGGTCCAGCTGGCAACTATTTCATGCGATATATGTTTGGAGCAGCTGGCTCTGCAGCCTGTCTACCCTGCATTCGAGCAATTGGTGTGGGTTGGTTTTCGACTATTAGCGCTATGTTTCTTGTTGCGGGGGCTACTGGTACGTATGTGACTGCATGTTATGGGAAGCAGTGGCGTGTGGCTATTGATGATAAAAAGGCGGCGAAGAAAGAAGGGGAAGGCCAGGTATAGAGGGATTTTTTCATGAATATTGACGATCCTTGGATGTAGACGATAATCTAATAGCATTAGCTTTGAGATCAGATGAAAATCCATACTTTTCCAGACTGTCATCCAGACTATCAGTATCGAAATTGGCAGAATCAATCGATTCGCGTTGATGTGAGATATGTTCAGCACCGTACGGAAAACCCTATTCGACGGCTTACAGCCAGAACAACTATAAAGTCCTCAATCAAATAGTTACTGAAAACAATAATTCCAAAGTTGCTGTGCAAAGGACTCGACAAAACATTCACGTACATATAGCACTACCAGAAATAATCCCCATCCTCACAACCTGCTGACGACCCGCAAAATCCCGACCACCCTGATTGGTCGCCAAGCCCCATCGCCCGTCCGCCCTCCCGCACCTCCCAGACCTCAAACCATTTCCCGCCCAGCACATCGACAACGAGAAAACGACACCGCCCAACTCCTCACCGCCCACAAAGATGTCCTCCACGGCCTTTCCGCACCATGGCAAGACGCCCGCTGCTACTGTAAGCTTGTCTTCCACCGGGTTAATGGCCCTTTGGGGCGATTGGGGCAGGAGAAGGAGGGAATGACGCAGTGTGATGGATGGCTAATAACGTGTGACAGAGCATGCGCAGTCCGTACAAGGCGTACAGAAGTCCTTTTGGTCCTCAGTATGTGTATTTTTTTGGTGTCGCAAGAGAGAGAGAGAGGACGGGAGGTGTGGAGGAGGGTGTTGGGGGTGTGGCTATGGAAGAGGAGGATAGCTTGGGTGCTTTGTGTTGAGCGACGAGAGACTGCAAGAATTGGCTTGCGCGGAGTGTGTTTGCGTCGGGGCGACATGTCGAGGATGCGCGGGGGGACATTGCAATTGGTGTCGCATCGTGTGTGTGGAACTGTGGGATGAAGCTAACGTTCTACCTCTAGGTACAAGATTGCAAAGCACTACCACGGCATCACCGTTAACACGCTCATGAAGTAGTACGTCTACCTTCTTCGCTGCACCCTTCTTCCAAAAAACCACAGACAACTGACCCCTCCCCCAGTGGTGTCCTCGCTGGAGGCTTCGGCGGCGCAGCCGGTTTCTTCGCCCTCTTCTTCTTCGCCGAGGTGCCAAAGGTGCGCGACGACATCATGAAGAAGATTCCGGTCCTGGACAAGTTCTTCACAAATGAGATTCCGCCAGAGGACAACCCGTTTTAGATGCATTGCGTTGGTGGAAGGATGATGTACTATATGGAAGCGTGGTGGAAGCATTGACTTGGAAAAGCATGCTGTACATTAGCGGCTGCAATTGCGGAATAGACATTTCTTCATGTTAAGAATCATTGAGTCCGCATCATATGATGTCCATTGTGGTCACTTCTGAGGTGCTAATTGTCAGGCATTGCTTCATTTTCTCATGACAAGAACGTATCGCTCAAGATGCTATGATATCCCTTTGCAGGCGGTGCAGCCGCCCATGTCCCTCTTGGAGTTGGGCTTGGAGTCAGCGACCTGTCGAGGCTCTAGTTTGTAGGCAGCCTTCCGACTACCTCTTCCATCTCCGCATCAGTATAGATCCTGAAGCCTTTGTCCTTGGTCACGCTTGCCAATTGTACATTCTTGCTGTCCAGCTTTTCTTCCATGACCTGCTTCAATGTCTTGAGGGCTAGCACCTCGGCCTCGGGCAGGGTAAGTGACTTGTGGAATTCGTTCTGGAGCTCAGCTTGCGCGCCCTCGGATCCAGAGCCAATGGCCTTGGCATCGTAGCGGTAGAATGTGCCAGATGGCTCGGCATGGTATCTGAAATTCGGAGTTAGCATTTTGCATGTACCCAGGTATGTGGATGCAAATCGCTATGACGTACAGACTTGGACCGTCCTCATCGTAACCCGCAATCAGTAGCGCCACACCAAACGGCCTGCTCATGATGCTCTCCTCGCCCTCCGCACCTTCGCCAAATCGCAGCGCCAAATCGCATATCGCCTGCGTGCAGCTCTCGACGCGCAGGGGCTCGTTGTAGTTGAAGGCGTGGTTCTGGCTCTCGACGCGGGCATGCTCGACCATGCTTCGTGCGTCGGCTTGTAGGCCGGACATGGCACACCCGATGTGGCGGTCAATTTCGACAATCTTCTCGACAGAGCTGGTCTCGAGGAGGGTGGAGGTCACGCGCTTTTCTACACCGAGAATCACACCTTCGCCTGTTGCTACCTAAGCATATTGTCAACCATTCGGCCTTGGATGAGTGGGCGGGTAGATAAGACACGTACGCCTATCGCTGTTGAGCCGAGCTTGATGGCTTCTAGGGAGTACTCGACTTGGAAGAGGCGGCCTTCGGGGGAGAAGGTGCTGTGACTGTGTGAGCGGGACGTTCGTGGGGCATTCTCTGGACATGTACACACTTAATACCGCGATCTGGGATACATGATTAGCTCATTTTCCGTTATTTTCACAAATATTCATCTTCTTACCATACTCGCTTCGTGCTATGAACTGTTTACATTAGTAGAAATACTTCCGGGCGGGGCTCGATGTATGCGTACCATGGTGGCTGATTGTGTCGAGAGTTTGGCGGTGGAGATGGGGGAGAGTTCACGAAGTCGGCGGTATCAGCAAAATCCTGTGACAGGCGTATGTGGGTGTAGAGGATTTGTGTGAGAGGCGCTGTAGATGTTTCTTGACACTGAGCTGCAAGGCAACATGAGCCGCGACAACGAGCTAGAGCTTCGTGCCAAGACATCACAGCTCTGACCAGACAATTGCTTCCCCGCCGACAACACTCAAGGTAGTTACCTGTTTATGCACATTATCAATATCCCTCATCTAGTTAAAGTACCGATGGCCTTATTCAGCCATGGATGTTCGCGCTGGAAATGATGACTCCCTTCGCTCTATCGATGTTGTGTTCATTCATACTGGCAATCCCTTTACCAGCACCTTTGGGGTGAAGGACCACGCGCGTCATATCGTATAAGTCCAAGGCACAGGGCCTCCTGACGAGACTTGATGTGATCACAGCCTGCTTGCCGTGCCACGATGCCTGATGTAAGGCCATTGGGAGTAACCTTGGCAATCCTGTAGAATCTCAGAAGGATTGCGCTCGCTACCGTTCGTGGTGCAGCTTGGTGGCTTACTCAATGTCCCAGATATTTGTGACCATATGAATCGGCCCATAGTTATTGGAATTATCATAAACTTCTTTCGGTCGTCGAGCTGCAGCACACGTTGCACCTGCGTACGTAAAAGGGTGCTTCTCGACGTGCTCAGAGCCAGCAGGTACGACGCAGAAAGTATATGAGTTGTTCGCGTCTCGACACCCTTTTCACACACGATCGATCTTCTTTTTGTCTGCATAGTTGCGACTGCCAAATCTTACTTCCATACTCGACACATTGGCCATGTGTAGGCACACGCAGCTGATTCTCCTCATCCTATGAATTCATACAGAATCGACGCCTTTTTCTGCAAGACAGGCTTCGAAGCCTCCAGGCTCGTGGGCTGCCTACAGAATATCGAAGCCCAACTCTTCCTCACGAGCCATGCGGCCTCTGCGGTGGATCGTCAAGGAGGCAGTAGATCGCCTATCTCCATCAGTCGATCACCATGACCAGCCCAACTGCTACTTCGCGAGCTCTCGCCCTCCCCGTCAAGCCTACTACGTAAAAAGCACCGTTACCGGACGCATCTAAGGGTTTGCTTCGCTTGTGGCATCCTGGCAGCAAAATGCAGCATTTACTAATTCTGGATGGAACTCTTTAGCGTTCCAAGTCAGACCAGGTTCGCAGGACGCCATCCTCCTTCAGCATCCCGATAGCTAGGGTCGGCTCACACTTATACTCTGGGTTTTTTTATACTACAATCGTCTACGAACATGAAGCGATGTAACAGACCGAAGCTATTCGGCACACCACAAAATCGTGGAACAGAATTGGACGGATGCACCACCTTTTATCGATGCTGAGCGGTGTCCTTACGCAACTTCAATCTCATATCGAAGCAAGCCATTGTGTACATCCGGTCCACTTTTCGAAACAGTACTTCAACTAGTCAAGCGAGCACTATACACACATAGCTGGCCTAACAAGGCTTGCCACATCACTTGATGCCTTGCATCAAAAGCGTCTTTCAGCGGATGCAACCCTCCTAAGCATCAGATCCCGGCTCGCCTGCCCCGGTCATTCGCCTATCTGGTTTTGCCTTCACCACATCTGATAAGATGAAATTATTTCGCCGAGTTATTAAGCAATGATATCGTTAGGTAATGGGAAGAATACACATAGTCCTGGCAATAGACGTTGTAGGCGCATTACTAGTGCGGCATCGTACATATACGATCGGTAGAAGGTCTTGCCATGGGGGCTTGGAAGACCATTCTAGTCCCTCAAGGCTTCGTTGAAGGATTCTGCGTCGCTCGGAACATGCCATGGTAATGGAAACGCACATATCCCCACCGCTACAACCTTGTGAACCGGCATCAAAGGAGACTCAAAAGCATTCGGCCAACAGACACATTTGACAGTATCGCTCAAATTAGCACAATGGCCTCTTAGCTGCATATACCAAGTTCTCTGGGCAAGATTTTCGAAAACGTACAAAGTACCCGTGCGCTCCTCCCATATAATCTAGGTTCTATGTAAGATTGGTCTTCGCTATCGAACTACGAGATCGAACCATGGATGCTAAAGTTCTCTTCTGCAGATTGCTTTCACTCAGCATTCTGATTCAACTCAGCGAAGCTCAATTGCCCTCGGTCTGGAAGCCCGATGATATCATTACTTTTTTTTGCTCGCGATGGTATCACCAGTGTAATCGTCACAAAAACCGTACCAGACAAACGCATGCTGACTGAAACAGCTGTTGTCAAGAACGATGTCTTGCATGTTTATGGCGGAATACAAACCTTTAATGTCCCAGACCTCAGCGTGAAGTCGACGAATAACACGCTTGGACACAGTATGTATATCACATCCACGACCATTCATTGCGTCCAGAAAGGAAAGGCACGCTTTGCGTGATGCGTCTTACGCACCAATTTGAGCATCGATACCGTCATGTGTTATTTCTAACGCACCAGCAGATCCATTTCTTCTCCAGGTCGATCTCGCAAACTCATGGGACTGGCAAAAGAATATGTCATGGCACTCTATCAATGTCGCAGAAAACCCTAAAACGGGAGCCCATGTGCGACACGCTATGGTAAATGGCGCCATGTATGCTGGGCCTTACAATTCCACCAACATCTGGACATATGGTGGCACCACGTTCAGAGGAAATAAGTCATTCCTTGACTCTGACAAGCCATATGCGAATCAATACCCACTGTGGTCATTCGACGATGAGACGAACAACTGGGATCAATTTGATCTGGGACAACTTACAACACCCAGTCGTGGACTATCTGCCCAGGCTCCAGACCAAGGCTTAGCGTTCTACCTCAATGGCCAGATCGATAATGGTACTGAACCGAATACTTGGGCTGGTGGCGATTCCATATCGCTCCTTGAAGGCATGATGGTTATCGATCTGGCGCATCAGACTGCGAGGAACGTTTCTACATCAAGCCTGAGGACATCGCAGCCTCGTTCAAGTGGTGCTATGCAGTATGTACCAGGCGTTGGCGACAGTGGGGTGCTGGTAGCTTTGGGCGGCAGAATGTATGGTGGAATGCGCACTTTGACCTCGCAAGACAAAGGAAGTCTTTTGACTTTCGATACGATTGATGTATACGATATAGCCTCTTACAGTGTTGACTCTGGTGCCAATGGCACGTGGCATCAACAAAGAGCCTCCGGTGACATACCACCTCCTCGGATCGATACTTGTACTGTAGTTGCATCTGCCCCAGACAACTCAACACACAACATATACTTGTATGGCGGATGGGTGAGAATGGTCTTCCTTACAGCTCACAAGGCATATGCTGACATTGGGAAGGATCCGACTGGCAATGAGAACAAGTGGTATGATGATATTTACGTATTAACCCTTCCATCTTTTACTTGGATCAAGATGTATCAGGCAGAGTCGCCCAGGTACGGCCATACTTGCCATCTAGTAGGTCGCCAATTACTCACAATCGGTGGACACAACGTTCGTCGAAATCAGACCAACATGTGCGATTGGGAGACGCAATCGATTGCCATTCTGGACTTGCCTTCAATGACTTGGGGCAGTGTGTTCAATGCTACAAACGGAGAGTATGAGTTGAGTCCTGCTATTGTTGAAAAAGTAGGCGGGACATCTCGAGGCGGCGCAGCCATGAAACAACCGGTCGTAGGTTGGTCATCACCAAAGCTAGAAAGCATCATGAGCAGTACCCGCATCTATTCGAACGTGAATGGTACTATCGACATAATCCGGGCTACACCAACTACCTCTATTACGAGAACGAATAAGCGGACTGCCATTATTGCAGGTGCGACGGCTACTGCTGTTCTATTTCTCTTCATAAACTGTGTAACTTGGATTCTCTATCTTCGTCGCAGGCGCCAGAGTATCGATGGCCTCACCAAACAGACTATAGACGATAGAGACTGGCCCGAAATTCAAGAAGTGGAAGGAAAGGCCAAGTTCGAGCTTTCACCGGACGAGAAGCGAATCTATGAGATGAAAGGCGAGGACTGGCGACACGAGGCTCCGGATACACGGGTAAGAGCCGAAGCGGATCCAGGGAACGCAGTCACGCATGCTTTTGAGTTGCCAGCGACAAACTTTAGCAAAGACGGCAAGTGGGGCGTGCCTATTATAAAAGAGCCAACGCCTTGTTCGTCGAGACGAGCTAGTACTGTAGCTGGTGGGACGGTTGTGTCTATTGTAGCTCGAAAGGATAGCTCAGACATGGCGTGAGGGGAAAAATCGAGCCCCATCTTTGAGAAAGCATCTAGATCAATCTGAAAAGAGTGTAATAGGACTTTGGTGCAGTGACACTGATTCATTGAAAGGTTTCCGTATGCACATGGGTACCGGTAGATATCTCGCAGCGAATGATGGGAGGCCATGAGCAAATCACGTGACTAAGACAGTAACACACTCATGCTGCATCCCGAGACTAGTAAATCACCGGCACTGATGCTACTCTTCTCATCTCACTTTTGGCACATGGACAGCACTCCACGTTCACCTCGTACAACACAGCCAATTGTGAGAGCACAAGATGCACGCCTCATCCACGGCAAGTGACACGGCGCTCCAATCCCGATGCCATGGCGCCACCTCATTGTCAATGGTACCGTATGGCCTAGGCTGTCGCAACTGTAGCGTCGGCGCCATTCTGTCGTCTTCGGGCCCGGAGAACATATTGCGCGTTGTCTGTGGCATTGTCATTGCTCATTTGGCTCCGATCGTTGATTGATGCTGTGCAGCTCGCCCGTAACGGTACCGGTACCGGTAGATCCTGTGGCTTGGGGCGGAAAGCTTGTTACTCGCTTCGCTTTGCTTTACTATACTTCACATGAGAAGTTGCCGCGCAAACAATAAATGCAAGATGCAACGACGGACGGGCAAGACAGGAGGTTGTGGTTTGTGCGGCGCACATGGTGTTAATGTTGATATTGATGATGCGCATTCGTGGTCCAGGAGGAAGTTTATTTTTGGCATGGGGGATACCGGTACGTGCCCCCGCGTCTGGAACGGATGGGTGACGTCGGTGCCAGAGCGGTTGAATAGGCTTTTTCTCCGCGGCGGCCAATGACTGGGCAACCGGTTCGCAGGGGGGTGTAAAGTTTGGTAGAGGATCCAGATTGGACGTTTCGTGAATCTAGTGGAAAAGGTTGGGTTTCTGTTGCATGACCGAGTGAAAGAAGTGGGATGGAGTGGCTGTGTGGCTAATGATGCACAATCCGATGAAAACAGAGTGAGTATCTTCTGATACTATATCTTGATGAAGAGTGAATTAAGCACTTGAGATACTGGCACTGAGTCGGTAATTACTTCAGGTGTAAGCATGAATAGCCCTCTTGCTCTAGGCAGTTCTATGGTATCTTGAATTACTCACCACTACCATATCCTCCAAGTTTACCGTTGCCAACTTACTGTAGAGTCAAAGATGCACGTATCTCTTGCAATGGTTCCTTTCATAACTGTTGGAAGTGCTTCAAACGAAGATGGATGTTTCCGTCCTGGTAGTAGATAACGGCTCGTTCTAGCGAGGTTCTATCCTGGATTACTAAAAATACCGGTACAGTTTACGGTCGGTAGGGGTTTGTGTTCCAGACGGAGATTTTTGCCATTGTTGTACTGCATCACATATTCCTCTTGTGTGCGTGCGTAAGTCATACCTCAATTTCTTTCCTATTTGATTTCTCCAACGATTGATCCAGTACTCCCAGCCTCCCCCTATACTAAGATGGTGTGCAGCCGATAGAGGCTCGACAACTAGCAGGCGATGTGAGTGTCAGTGCAAGCCATGAAGTTGCAGGGTGTACAAACGGGAGTTAAACTAGGGCGACTGTCCTGTGTACTGGAAAGGGATCAGGTTGGCTGGCTGGATCGGGGCCAGAAGCGGCATTTTTCTCTTTTTTTTTTCTTTGTCAAGTGCGTTGAGGGTACTGCGCCTGCTTGAGTTACCTATAGCCCTACCGGTAACCATCCGACGTCACCCGCCGATAAATACTTCTTGTTGCTGCATTCCTGAGAAGCCCCGTCTGCTTCCTATTCAACAATTTCTCGTCCACCTTTTTAATCACTCTCAGCTGCCTTTCATCTCTTTCGCAGTATCAACGTTCTCAGCCCTACAACTTCGTCCATAATGCGTGTCTCTACTTTTGCCCTGGCTGCAGCCAGTCTCCTATCAACAGCCAGCGCTGCTATCAAAGGGTTCAACTATGGAGCCCAATTCAACAACGACCAGGCCAAGACCCTTGTCGATTTTGAATACGAATTCAACGCCGCGAAGCAGCTTCCTGGCACCGATGGATGGACCAGTGCTCGTCTGTACACCATGGTCCAGCATGGCACCGCGAGCAACGTCATTGAAGCTATCCAGGCTGCCATCAACACCAACACCACGCTCTTGCTCGGCTTGTGGGCCTCGGCTGGCCAGGCGGTCATCAATAACGAGCTTGCTGCTCTCAAGGCTGCTGTTCAGCAATACGGCACTGCTTTCTCTGACTTGGTTGTCGGCATCTCCGTTGGCAGCGAGGATCTTTACCGCATCACACCCACCGGCATCGAGAACAAGGCTGGCCCTGGTGCCCAGCCCAACGAGTTGCTCAGCTATATCCAGCAGACCCGTGATGCTATCAAGGATACTGCTCTCGCAGGCAAGCCCATTGGACACGTTGACACCTGGACAGTCTACGTCAACGCCTCCAACAACGCTGTCATCTCCGCCCTCGACTTCATCGGCATGGACGCGTACCCCTACTTCCAGACAACAATGGCCAACAGCATAGGAAGTGCTAGCCAGCTGTTCTTCGATGCTTACCACGCAACTGTCGGTGCTGCTCAGGGCAAGCCTGTCTGGGTTACCGAGACTGGATGGCCTCTGACGGGAAAGACTTTGAACCAAGCTGAGGCTAATACGGGCAACGCCCGCATCTATTGGGAGGATGTCACATGCCAATTGGTCAAGGACAACGTTAATCTCTACTATTACACTCTCCAGGATGTCCAGTACGGCAATCCCAGCCCGTCATTCGGCATCAAGCCTGCTGGCGATCTCATGAGTGCTCAGCCATTATTCGATTTGTCCTGTCCTTCTAGCGCTAAGCCGGTAAGCTAGTTTCTTCCGTTACTTCTGTCGTCTTCGCTGTCCCCACTTTTATCCTTGTTCCTTTACAACTTTACGATCATTTTGTCTGTTCTCCTCTACCTTCTACCTGCCAGCTACTCACAATGTGATTGTCCTTGCACATCTCGACGTCAGCCCGTACAACTACCAACCTGGGCCATATGGTCTCACGGTTGGGCTGCACGGACTAACGAGTATGCGAAGTCGTCACCTATCGTGTCACGCTCGGCAAGCCGTGGTATTGGATCCACGACAGGTTTGTCTAGTAAGAGCGATGAAGTTGTCTATTCCTTCCTCGGAAATGTGAACTGACCCTATACAGCGCAACTAAGTACTCTTCCAACACCAACACCGACCATCATCACCGTCACAACATCTGGTCGTCTACCGCCATCAGTGGGCCCTCTTCCGCCATCTACCTCCTACTTGACTCTTCCCGACCTGCCTCTGCCCCACGTACCCCGTGGAATTCCTTCACCTTTCCAAGCGCCAATCCTCATTGTACCCTTTGAAAAAGCCAACCCAAAGAAAGTCCTCGCGGAAGAGTACACTGCTCAACTCTCACCCATTGTCTCTACCATCTTTGTGTTCAACATTGATCCCGCGTACCAAGGCAAAACCTGCACACTTGCCCTTCACGTCCCTCTGGCCTTTGATTTTTCTGCTTTCAGTCCGCTGCACATCAATGCGCCTGGCGGGGTCACCGTCTCCCGTGTCGACAATGCGGTTCCTATGCTCAGCGCTTCAGGACCCGTGGGTAGTGTTGCCTCTGTCGATTTTGGCCATGACTACAACATTGCCAGCGGTCCGTGTGAAGGCGGTCAGAGAGTCGGGTACCAGGTTGATTCGGTTGGGGGGTTGACGATGGATTTCTTTCAGCTGGTGAATCCGCCTCTGGGCTTCTTTTTGTTGGTCAATTAGGCTGTTGTGAGGTATTTGTGTTGATGGGACGGGGATGATGGTGATGATGGTGATGATGGTGTTGTTGCCGTCGGTGGAGATGCTATTCTAATGACGCCATTAGCTATAAAAGTCCCAGATTCTAGTTTGTAATGTATGTTCAATAATCGATTTGTTAAAACAAAATCTTTGGTGTGCAGTTTTTTTATCTCTTTTGTGGCTGCAGAGTTCCACATTTCCGTCTTCCATGAACAAGATGGGGGCTTTAAAATTTACAACAAATCGTCTCAAAGACTAAACGCCGTCTTCAACAAAACGGTGAAATAGCCACCCATATCTCCCATTCTCTCTCGCTCCAAAACTACGAATCCAGTTCATTCCCTTACTCCGCAACAAAATGCATCACCCCCTCACATAACCACACACGCATCCCCAACATCAGGTCCCTCACCCATCCTCTCCTTGCCCAGACTTCTTAACCCCACAGCCCTCATCCCCAGACTCCCCCTTTTGCCGCGCCCTATCACCGCCCCGCGCCCCAACAGCCCCAGCCCGAAAACGAGAATCGCAGCGAGGAAAACGAGCAGTGTGAGGATGAGCAGGGTATGGAGTATATAGTGCTGTGTGTGGTTGGGGAATGTTATGCGGTAGCCCGGGGCAGGCATTTTATCGTAGTTTATTCAGTGTGCTTCGCGGGGTTGTGCTGTTTGAATTGCTGACGGTGGGGATGGTGATGGTAGGGGCGGGATCGGAGCAGGATGAAGCTTTTGCAGTAGTGGAGTATCGATACGGTTTTCCATTCTAGTGGGTGCGGAATTCAAGGGGAGTGATGGGGAGTGTGAGGAATGGAGGTGTTGGTGCTTGTGCTGTTCACGTTGAGGATGAGAGGGTGAGCAGTGTCGCTGTTCTCGAGGATTAAAGGTTAGATGGTGGATGTATGGATGGTTTTGATTGGAGGATGGGTAGTGAACAATGGGAAGATGGGGCGTGGATGGTGGTGGTGATCTGGGCTTGCTTTGTTGAAGATGGGATTGTGTTCTTGGAATCAAGGGAGGGTTGATTTTGTGTGATTTGTTGCTTTCTTGCCGTCTTTTCTTGACTTTTTTTTTCTCAGCGGGTGGTGCTGGATCGTAGACGTCTATCTGCCCAAGTTTTACAGAATGCTTTGATGGATTCAATCGTCAGATTTCTTTACCTCGTCGTAACGCAAGTTGAAACTCGACAGAAACAACGTCATTAACCTCTCAACCGCAATCCCATCACTATCACCTTCCCTCCCCTCCCCAAAAGCAGCACCCCAAAACTCCCCTCCCTCCCCACATCACCGCCCTAAACAACCCATCCACCTATCCATCCAACCCTTCCGCAAACGGAACAATGCCAACAACCCATAACCCCTCTCCAACCCTTACCAAACGTCACCCTACCAACCCATCACAAAACCCTCATGCGCCCACATCCACCAAGAAACCCCAAGAGAACCAAGAAGAACACAGTGAAATAACGTACCCACGTTCCAAGGCCGAGACACCACGCACATGGTCGTATTTCCCCTCGTGCTGGATTACCTCAACCACCCTACCACTACTACTAGCCTACCTGTATACCATCTCTATACGTGACCTTCAAGCCAAGTACAGATCCTGGTCCAGCATAGCGTGGCGTGTCAAGTCCTATCCCATCCCCAAAGCCCCAGACCTACCCCCCACAACACCATAAATCTCAAACCCTACCCCCCGCAGCCTCCACAAGACACGCAGGACCGAGATGTGAGATCGCCACAGCAGGGATATTCTAGACCGCTGTGTGTTGTGCCGGATAGTTGGGGGGGAGGAGGAGGAAGAGGAGGAAGAAGGGCTCCAGTCTAGATGAATCCAATGTCTCACACCCGTCCTTTTCCAAGGCAATAACAGAAAAGCAAACATAAACGCCAAGACAAAGAGAAAAAGAGAAACAAAGAAACAGAAACAGAAAAATAGGAAAATAAACAGTAACCGGTCATCCAAGCCCAACCCCCCATCCCCAAAGCCGCGAGCTCCCACCATACCCATCCTCCCCTACCCAAAAAGAGAAAAACACAATTCACAAACACAACCGCCCGCCCACAAAAAACCAGCTAACCCAAACCCCGGAATGTCCCCCCAACCCCGGGACCCGGGTGCCCAGACCACCAGCATAAACGTCGCACACATACTGAACGGGGTCCGTGGTCCCAGGTAACGGGTCGGGCGAGATTGCGGGTTTGTGTGTGGGGGGGATGGAGGGTGGAATGTGGAATGTGGATGAGCTGGATTGTGTGCGATGTAGTGAGTATTGAGATAGGAGGTCGTTTGATAGTGAGGGGGAAGGGTGGAAGGGTGGAAGGGGGGAAGGGAGGAGGAGGGAGGAGGAGGGAGATTGTAGGGAGTAGGGAGGAGGGTAGGGTTGATGGGGTAGGTGGAGGTGGAGGGATATAGATTTGAGAGGAAGTAAAAGTGGGGTGGATGAGGAATGAAATGTAA